GGGGGTTTGCAGCTCAGGCTGGGGGGGATGGATGGATGTGTTCTGGGGGATGCTCAGGGGTGAGTGATGATGGGAAGGGAGATGAGATGAGTTCATCCCAGGTGGATGATCTGGTCTGTCCCAGAACTGAGCCAAATTAACCCAATGCAGGTCCCCAGCAGCAATGGCAGTGAAGCCATCAGAGGACAGGGACCGTTTGTCCCCAGGGTGGTCCTGCCTTGTCCCTGCTGCTGCCTGGGGTCCCTTGGGGACTCCTCGGGGTCCCTCGTGGCCCAGCTCCCGCTCTGTGTCCCAGTCCTGTGGCCGGTGGTGGCCTTTGTCCTTAAGGGAAGGTCCCCCCCAGGCTCCGGGTCCCTTTTTGTTCAAGCAATGTGACCTTGGGAGTCCTGCTCCCACCCTTGGGTGGCAGCGGGGGGGGGAAGAGGGCTAGGGTCACTGTCAGCTGGGTCAGTGTCCTGGGGTCACTGTCCTGGGGTCACTGTCCTGGGCCACTGCCTGGGGACTCTCAGCCCCGGGGGGCAGGACACCCCAGCTGGGAGGTGGGTGACAGTGTCCTCGGTGTGTGACAGTGACCTCGGTGGGTGACAGTGTCCTCGGTGGGTGACAGTGTCCTGAGCACATGGCAGAAGCCACAATCGCTCCGGCTGCAGCGGGGTCGTCGTGAGGGTCCCGCTCATCCCCGGGGGGTGACACCGGGCGGCTCGGGGGGCACAGATTCGGTCTGGGAGGGCCCGGTTCGGTCTGGGAGGGCCCGGTCCGGTCGGGCGCGGCAAGTGCGTTCCGGGACACGGGGACGGGGCAGATCCCGGCGTTTTTGCGGGGCTGGAAAAGAGGCGGATGGAGGGGAGCCGAGCCCTCCCGGGGGGTCCCATCTCCCCCCGCCCGGCCCAGCCCGGGGGGGCGCGGGGAGCCCCCGGTGCCGCCCTCTAACGGCGGCGGCGGCGCTGGAAAATCCCGACCGAGCGCGGGGGGCGGGGGCGGGATGCGGCTGCTCGGGGCCGCGGCGGAGCCTCGCCCAGCTCCGCACCGCCCCGCACCGCCCCGCACGGCCCCGCACCGCCCCGCACCGCCCCGCACGGCCCCGCACCGCCCCGCACCGCCCCGCACCGCCCCGCACGGCTCCGCACCGCCGGGGATGAGGTACGGCCGCACCTGCCCCCCGCACCCCCCGAGCCCCCGGGGGTCGCGGCGGCTCCGCCAGGGATGGGGGGAAACCGGGGAGGGCTCCGCGAGGGGCCGGGGGGGGGGATCGGGGCGCGGTGGCGGCTCCCGGGGGTTGGATGGACCGGGGGCGCCCCGATCTGAGCCCCCTCCCCGCGGCGGGGATGCCCCCGGGCCGGGCCGCATCCTGCGGCGGGCGCGGCTCCGTCCCGCGGGATGCGGAGGATCGGGGGGATATTGGGGGACAGGAGGGTTCAGGGAGGATCAGGGGGCTCGGGGGGAATCGGGAAGCGTTTAAACCCCGCATCCTGCAGGGACAAAGGCCGGACAATGCGGGGGCTCGGCGGGGAGTCCGCGGGAGGGGGGGAGGAGGGAGCAGCATCGCCGTCCCCATTCTCACCTTCATCGCCATCCCCATCCCATCCCGATCCCATCCCCATCCCATCCCCATCCCCATCCCCATCCCCATCCCCATCCCCATATCCCCATCCCCATCCCCATCCCCATCCCCATCCCCATCCCCATCCCCATCCCCATCCCCATCCCCATCCTGCGGGCGGGGCGGGGGGCTCGTCCCTGGGGTGGCAGCAGCTCCCCCCGCCCCGATCCGAGCTCGGTTCCCTGCAGCCCCCCGCCCCTCCCGGTGCTCCCGGGCCCGGGATTGCGGCTGAGCCCCAAAACCTCCTCACCCAAACCAGCACCCCAAACCCTCCCCACAAACCCGCACCCCAAATCCACCTCCCAAACCGTCCCTCCAAAACCTTGGCCTCTAAACCAGCATGTCAACCCCACCCGGGGGGCACCCAAGGGTCCCCGTGCCGAGTCCCCGGGCAGGGGTGCCCCCATCACCCCGGGTGGGGGTGGGGTGGTGGCTGCACCTCCCACCCCGCTGGCTCCCACGGCCACCCCGGGGCGTGGGGTGGATAAGGGGGGCCCTGCACTGTGAGGGGGCTGTGCTGGGGGTGTTGGGGACCCCAGACTCACGGCACCACGGCCCCACAGCCATCCCCACGCACGATGTCCGTGTGTGGGTGTGTGCAGGGGCTCTGTGGGGGCTGCGGGGGTCGATGCTGTGTGAGGAGAAGGGGACAGATCCCAAATCCCCGTGTCCCTGCGCGTGTCCCCACATGTGTGCAGGGTCAAGCTGTGGTGGCGGGGGGCTGTGCTCCCCAGGGGGGTTTTGCTGTGGTCGGGGGTCCCCGGGGCCGGGTCGATCAGGCCGGGCTGGTGACAACACGCTGTTTGTTTAATGTCCCCGGGGGCAGCCGGGGCTCAGCTGTGCCTGTGGCAGTGTGGCAGTGTGGCAGTGTGGCTGATGGCTGCGCTCCCGTCCCCGGCCTCATCCGCAGAGCTGCTGCCAGGCTGGGGCGAGCCGAGGGGTGCAGGAGCTTGGGGTACCCCCCCAGGGCTGCCCAGCCCTGCCCAACCCTGCCCTGCTCTGCTCAGGCCACGCTGGCATCACACACGGCGAGCAGAGCAGGGGACGGTGGGTGGTGGGCAGTGGGTGCTGTGGGCACCGTGGGCACCGTGGGCACCGTGGGGACAGCAGGGTGTGATGGGCAGTGCAGCTGCTCCTTCATCTGCAGCATCATCCGCCCTGCCAGGAAAGTGCTGGATGGATCCAGGCCCCAGCGGTGGCCTCGGCCAGTCCTGGGGTGCCCCCGGCAGAGAGGGGCAGATTTTGGGGGTGGGAGGAGAGGCACAGCCAGCACCCCTGAGCCATCACATCGCCCCAGGGTCAGCCCACAGCCCCCCTGGGATCCGGCCCACGGGGGGACACCGGGTCCTGTGGGGCGGTGACCAACACGGGGCTGGAATGGAGCTGCAGCCCCGGCCCCATTTCCTACAGCCCTGGCCCCCCTTTTCCCACAGCTCCGTCCCCCCTTTTCCCACCGCCCTGTCCCCCCTTTTCCTACAGCCCCGTCCCCCCTTTTCCCACACCCCCGGCCCCCCTTTCCCACCGCCCCATCCCCCCATTTCCCGCACCCCTCGCCCCCCATTTCCCACAGCCCCATCCCCCCTCCCCGCCGTGTCTCGCCGCTCTGTGGTTGCAGGTGCGGCCGCGGCCCCTCCCCTGCAGATCGCGGCGCTGCTGCGGCCGCTGCGCTCGCCTGGCCCTGCCAGGAACTGGGGGGAGCAGAGCTCAGCCCCCCCCTCCATCGACCCCCCAAATATCCCAGCCCTGACCCCCCGGGAGGGCAGCCCGAGCCCCCCGGGTTCTTAGAGGGTGGGGGTCCTCCAGGGGAGGCTGAGCAGCTGGGGGGGTACACAGAGCTTTGGGGTGCTGGGGAGGGGGGAACGTCCTCCCCCGGCTCCCATTATCCCCTACAGGGCTGAACACCCCCATCCTCCACGTCTGAGTCCTCAGGAAGGGCCGGGCACCGCCTGTGCTCCCCCATCGCTGTCGCCATAGCAACAGCAGCCTGTGCTCATCCTGCATCCCGCATCCTCATCCTGCATCCCAATCCCACATCCCCATCCCCATCCCCATCCCCATCCCATCCCATCCCATCCCATCCCATCCCATCCCATCCCATCCCATCCCATCCCATCCCATCCCATCCCATCCCATCCCATCCCATCCCATCCCATCCCATCCCATCCCATCCCATCCCATCCCATCCCATCCCATCCCATCCCATCCCATCCCATCCCATCCCATCCCATCCCATCCCATCCCCATCCCACATCCCCCATCCCGCACCTCCCCCTCCCCTGCTCCCCACCCCCTGCCCGGGGTTTTTCTCTCTCCCGGGTGGAATTTTTGGCAGTTGCGGGGGGGGATTGGCACCGTGGGGGTCTTTGTGTCCCTCGGGAATCGCGGCCAGGGGGGCACCCCACAGCAGGACCCATAGGGCGGGACGGGAGCTGCCCCAGCCTGTGGGGTGCAGGGCTGAAGGAGCAGCTTTGGGGGGCTCCTGGGGGTGAGGGGACATCGATGGGGGGGCTCGGGTGCCAGCACTGCCCCGGGTGGGCTCTCTGTGCTGGAGGGGGGCGCTGGGACACCCAGAAGGGTCCCAGGGAGCCGCCGTGGGGCAGATTTGGGGGTGTCAGAGCCGGGAGGGGTCGATCGCTGCCACCCCTGAACCGCTTTGGGGGGGATTTAGGGTGGGGGCAGCCGAGAGGAGATGGGGAGCCCCCATTGCCCCCCCATCGCCGGCTCCCCCCGCCGGCACGACCCTCTGGGGGGTGAGGAGGGGTCCCCAACCCCAACCCCCCCCCCCCACGTGTGACAGCGTCCTGCGTGTCCCCCCGGGCGGCTGCAATAGGAGATTTGGGGGGCTGGGGGGGGGCACAGGGGGTCTGAGGGGGTTTGTGGGGGGCGGGGGGGCCGCGGAGGGGCCGCGGAGGGTCCGGGGCTGCCCCCGGTGCGGCGGGAGCGGAGCGGGAGAAGACAAAAGGGAGACAAAGGGAGCGGAGAGCGGAGCTCGGAGCGGGCGGGGAGGCGGGCGGGGCTGGGGGGGCTCTGCCTGGGGTGGGGGGCGGCGCTGGACCCCCACCCTGAGCCGGGGCCGCCCCTCTGGGGGGGTTTGGGGGGCACCAGCACCTCCCGGGCTCGGGGGTGCGGGCGGTGGGGCGCGCTGTGCTGGGTGCTGGGGGCTCTCAGGGTGCTGGGGGGCTGTCAGGGTGCTGGGTGCTGGGTGCTGGGTGCTGGGGGCTGTCAGGGTGCTGGGGGGCTCTCAGGGTGCTTGGGGGCTCTCGGGGTGCTGGGTGCTGGGGGGCAGTCAGGGTGCTGGGGGGCTGTCAGGGCGCTGGGGGGCTCTCAGGGTGCTTGGGGGCTCTCGGGGTGCTGGGTGCTGGGGGGCAGTCAGGGTGCTGGGGGGCTGTCAGGGCGCTGGGGGGCTCTCAGGGTGCTGGGGGGCTCTCAGGGTGCTCGGGGGAGCCCCCCGGGTGCTGCCCACCCCCGAACCCCCCCAGGCACGGCAGGAGGTGAAGATGTCCGGCTCCATCGCCTCCTACGAGCAGCTGGTGCGGCAGGTGGAGGCGCTGAAGAAGGAGAACAGCCACCTCCGGCGGGAGCTGGAGGACAACTCCAACCACCTCTCCAAGCTGGAAAATGAGACCTCGGACATGAAGGTGGGCACAGAGCCCGAATTTGGGGAGGTGGGGGGGTTTCCATCCACATCTCCACATCCTTAATGGTTCCACCGCTGTTTCAGGAGGTCCTGAAGCACCTCCAGGGGAAGCTGGAGCAGGAGGCGCGGGTGATGGTGTCCTCGGGGCAGCCGGAGGTGCTGGAGCAGCTCAGAGGTGGGTGCCCGGGCAGGCTGGGGAGGGGACACCCCGCCCAGCCCCCCCTGACAGCGCTGTCCCCGTCCGTCCCCAGCCCTGCAGATGGACATCTCCAGCCTCTACAACCTCAAGTTCGCCCCGGAGCCGCTGAGCACCGGGCGGGGCACCGAGGAGAACCGGGACGGCCCCGGGGAGATGGGCAGGGCCACGTTCCGCATGCTGGAGGAGCTGGACCGCGAGAGGTGATGGCCTGGGGGGGACAAAAGGGGCTGGGGGGACCGGGGGGGCTGTGCTGACGGAGCCCTCCCCTCCTGTACCCTCCCCAAGGTGTTTCCTGCTGGGGGAGATCGAGAAGGAGGAGAAGGAGAAGATCTGGTACTACGCGCAGCTGCAGAGCCTGGCCACGCGCCTGGACGAGCTGCCCCACGTGGAGACGGTGAGTGGGGGACCCCCTGTGCCCCCCGAGGCCACGGGGAGCCCACCCCAGCTCAGGCCACCCCCTGTGCCCCCCAGTTCTCCATGCAGATGGATCTGATCCGGCAGCAGCTGCAGTTCGAGGCGCAGCACATCCGCTCGCTGATGGAGGAGCGCTTCGGCACGGCCGACGAGATGGTGCAGCGGGCACAGGTCAGCCCTGCCCCCCAAAATCCCCCTGCTCCGCTGCTGGGGGGCCCCAGACTGAGGGGCTCCACTCTGGGTACCCTCACGAGCAGCTCTGGGTGCCCTACAGCAGCTCCTCACACCTTAGAGCTCCTCACACCCTGCACCAGCTGCTCACACCCTCGAGCAGCTCCTCACACCCTACACCAGCTGCTCACACCCTCGAGCAGCTCCTCACACCCTACACCAGTTCCTCACACCCCACACCAGCTCCTCACACCCTACACCAGTTCCTCACACCCCACACCAGCTCCTCACACCCTACACCAGCTCCTCACACCCTACAGCAGCTCCTCACACCCTACAGCAGCTGCTCACACCCTACACCAGCCCCTCACACCCTACAGCAGCTCCTCACACCCCACACCAGCTCCTCACACCCCACACCAGCTCCTCACACCCCACACCAGCTCCTCACACCCTAGGGCATCTCCTCACACCCTACACCAGCTCCTCATACCCACACCAGCTCCTCACACCCCACACCAGCTCCTCACACCCCACACCAGCTCCTCACACCCTACACCAGCTCCTCACACCCTACACCAGCTCCTCACACCCTCGAGCAGCTCCTCACACCCCACACCAGCTCCTCCCCCCCTCGCACGCCGTTCCTTGCCCCCTTGCCCCCCTCCCTGCCGTTCCCGGCGCTCCCGGGGGTCCCCCAGCCCCCCCTGACCCCCTGTGCCCCCAGATCCGCGCGTCCCGGCTGGAGCAGATCGACAAGGAGCTGATGGAGGCGCAGGACAAGGCGCAGCAGCCGGAGCCGCAGGTGGGGGGGACGGGGGTCCGGTCCCTGTGGGGCCGGGGAGGAGGGGGCAGCAGGGCCCCCTCGCCGTTGTCCCCGCGCTGTCCCCGCGCTGTCCCCAGGGCCCGGCCGGGCTTTGTGTGGCTCGGGCACCGGGAAATGGGCAGTTGCCATGGAGACCAGAAGTAGGCCATGGCGGGCGGGCGGCGCGGGGCTCCCGCGGCATCTGCTGCTGCTGCCGGAGCTGCCAGGGCGGGCAGGCTGCCATCGGCATCGGCATCGTTGTCATTGTCATTGCCATCGCCATTGCCATCATCATCGACATCGTCATTGCCATCATCGCCATTGTCATCATCATCATCGCCATCATTGTCATCGCCATTGCCATTGTCACTGCCATCGCCATCGCCATGGCCAAGGGCTGCCATCGACATGGCGCCAGTGTCACCCACAGCCTTGCCGCTGTCATTGTCCCACTGTCACCCACAGCTCCACCACCATCATCATCATCGTCATGGGCTACCATCGCCATCGCCACACTGTCACCCACTGCCACGGACACACTGTCACCCACTGCCCCACCATTGCCACAGTCCCACTGTCACCCACAGCCCTGCCACTGTCACAGACACACTGTCACCCACTGCCCCACCACTGCCACGGACCCACTGTCCCCCCAGCCCTGCCACTGTCACCCAGAGCCCTGCCACTGTCCCCCACAGCCCTGCCACTGCCCCACCACTGCCACAGTCCCACTGTCCCCCCCAGCCCTGCCATCAGCCCAGTCCCATCATCACCCCCCTCCCACCATCACCCGCACCCCCATCACCCCCCAGCCCCCCGTTCCCACCCCTCCATATCTCCGCAGGCTCAGCCCCAGCCCCCTCCCCGCCGCCCACCCACGCTCTGCCTTCCCTGCGCCAGCAGCCCCCCCAGTCCCAATCCCCCCCGATTTGAGCTCAAAACACACCCCGGCCCTGACGGCAACAACGCCCGGGGGTGGCGGGGGGTGGCAGGAGAGTGGGGAGGGGGCTGGGCAGGGGGGCGAGGGCGCTGCAAGGCAGCCCCCCCCCACCTCCCACCTCCCCCTCCTCTGCAGCTCTGCGGGAAGGTCCCGGGCGTGGAGGGGGACAGCAGCGGGGACCCCCCGAGCCACCCCGAGGAGGGCGGCAGCACCAAGGTGAGGGGACAGCACCGGGCCGGGCCGGGGGGCACCGAGCCGGGTGTCACCCACCCCGGGGGGCACCGAGCCGGGTGTCACCCACCCCGGGGGGCACCGAGCCGGGTGTCACCCACCCCGGGGGGCACCGAGCCGGGTGTCACCCACCCCGGGGGGCACCGAGCCGGGTGTCACCCACCCCGGGGGCACCGAGCCGGGTGTCACCCACCCCGGGGGCACCGAGCCGGGTGTCACCCACCCCGGGGGGCACCGAGCCGGGTGTCACCCACCCCGGGGGGCACCGAGCCGGGTGTCACCCACCCCCGGGGCACCGAGCCCGCGTGGGGCCGAGCGTGACCCGGTGTCCCCGCAGGTGGAGGTGGTGTTCTGGCTGCTGTCCATGCTGGCCACGCGTGACAAGGAGGACATGTCCCGCACGCTGCTGGCCATGTCCAGCTCGCAGGAGAGCTGCGTGGCCATGCGCAAGTCGGGCTGCCTGCCCCTGCTGATCCAGATCCTGCACGACTCGGACGGGGAGCCGGGACCCCCCGAGAGCCCCACGGGGGCCAAGGACGCCCGCATGAGAGCCAACGCCGCCCTGCACAACATCGTGTTCTCGCAGCCCGACGAGGGCCAGGCCAAGAAGGAGATGAGGGTTCTGCATGTGCTGGAGCAGATCCGCTCCTACTCCGAGACCTGCTGGGACTGGCTGCAGATGCAGAGCCGGGACGGGGCACGGGGCCCTGAGGGCACCGGTACGGACTGGGAGGGACTGGGAGGGACTGGGAGGGACTGGGAGCATCCTCTGTGACCCTCATGCCCCGCAGTGCCGGTGCCCATCGAGCCCCAGATCTGCCAGGCCACCTGTGCCATCATGAAGCTGTCCTTCGACGAGGAGTACCGGCGGGCCATGAACGAGCTGGGTGAGCGCGGGGAGGGGCTCCTTCCCTCTGCACCGCACCCAGACCGGCTGCTGGAGCTGGGGGAACCCCAAATGACCCCTGCCCCGCCCCACAGGTGGGCTGCAGGCGGTGGCCGAGCTGCTGCAGGTGGACTATGAGATGCACAAGATGACCAACGACCCCCTGAACCTGGCGCTGCGGCGCTACGCGGGCATGGCCCTCACCAACCTCACCTTCGGCGACGTGGTCAACAAGGTGGGAGAGGGGTTTGGGGGGGTCAGGAGGGTCTGGGGGCGACCAGCAGGGTTTGGGGGTGATCAGCAGGGTCTGGGGGCAACCAGGAGAGTATGGGGGGGATCAGCGGGGTATGGGGGGGACCAGCAGGGTCTGGGGGTGATCAGCAGGGTCTGGGGGGGACCAGCAGGGTCTGGGGAGGACCAGCAGGGTCTGGGGGGGATCAGCAGGGTCTGGGGGGCACCAGCAGGGTCTGGGGGAAACCAGCAGGGTCTGGGGGGGATCAGCAGGGTCTGGGGGCAATCAGCAGGGTCTGGGGGGACCAGCAGGGTCTGGGGGTTGCAGCATGGCCCTCAGCCCCCTCCCCTCCCCGCAGGCCACGCTGTGCTCCCGCCGGGGCTGCATGGAGGCCATCGTGGCCCAGCTGGGCTCCGACAGTGAGGAGCTGCACCAGGTGGGTGCTGCTGGGGCTCCCTGGGGCGGGGGACAGGCAGGGGGACAGTCCCCGTGCTCACTCACCCCCATCTGCCTCTCCAGGTGGTCTCCAGCATCCTGAGGAACCTCTCCTGGCGCGCTGACATCAACAGCAAGAAGGTGCTGAGGGAGGTGGGCAGCGTCACCGGGCTGATGCGCTGTGCCCTGCACGCCGGCAAGGTGAGCCCGGGGCGGGTGACAGCGGGCACAGGGTGACCAGACAGACCTGACAGGGCTGTGTGTCCCCCTGGGGCGGGTGACAGCGGGCACAGGGTGACCAGACAGCGGGCACAGGGTGAGCAGACAGCGGGCACAGGGTGACCAGACAGTAGGCACAGGGTGACCAGGCAGACCTGACAGGAGTTGTGCATCTCCTCCCGGGGCAGGAGTCGACGCTGAAGAGCGTCCTGAGCGCGCTGTGGAACCTCTCGGCACACAGCACGGACAACAAGGCGGCCATCTGCGGGGTGGAGGGGGCCCTGGGCTTCCTGGTCAGCACCCTCACCTACAAGTGCCAGAGCAACTCCCTGGCCATCATCGAGAGTGGCGGTGGCATCCTCAGGAACGTCTCCAGCCTCGTGGCCACGCGGGAGGATTACAGGTGAGCGGCACTGGAGGGACCCACGGAGCTGGGGTGGCACTGGGGGTGGCACTGGGGGATGCTGTGGCTGGGGGTGGGATGGGAATGGGGCACCCCGGGCTCCACGGACCCCAGGATTGGCCTCGGGGGGTGATAGGGCTGCAGGTACAAGGCACATGGAGATGGGGCACCAAGGGTGGCGTTGGGGGATGCAGTGGCTGGGGGTGCAGACCCCAGGGATGGCACTGGGGGGATGTCACGGCTGGGCAGAGCTGGGGTCACCTTGCACCCCTGGGATGGGGCAGGGAGCAGGTCCAGGACCACCCTGACGGCCCGGGGGGGGTCCCCTCTGTCCCGCAGGCAGGTGCTCCGGGACCACAACTGCCTGCAGACGCTGCTGCAGCACCTGCGCTCGCACAGCCTGACCATCGTCAGCAACGCCTGCGGCACCCTCTGGAACCTGTCTGCCCGCAGCCCCCGCGACCAGGAGCTGCTGTGGGACCTGGGGGCGGTCAGCATGCTGCGCAACCTCATCCACTCCAAGCACAAGATGATCGCCATGGGCAGCGCGGCCGCGCTGCGCAACCTCCTCACCAACCGGCCCCCCAAGTACAAGGACGCGGCCGTGGTGTCGCCGGGCTCCTGCATGCCCTCGCTCTACATGCGCAAGCAGAAGGCGCTGGAGGCCGAGCTGGACGCCAAGCACCTGGCCGAGACCTTCGACAGCATGGAGAAGCAGAGCCTGAAGGGCCAGAGCGCCAAGAAGCCGCCGCGGCACATGGAGAGCCTGGTGAAGGACTACGCCTCCGACTCCGGCTGCTTCGACGACGACGAGGTGCCGAACATCTCCACCGGCGTGGAGACGGCCAGCGCCTCCGTGCTCTCCATGTTCCTCAGCTCCTCCTTCCTGCAGGGCCAGGCGCTGCCGCGGGCGCTGGCGCAGCGGCGCTGCCCGGAGCCGGAGAAGGACGGCAGCGGGAAGGCGGCCGAGCCCAAGAAGCCGCCGCCGGTAGAAGATGACGTCTCGCTGGCCGCCGAGAAGTTGGCCAACAAGATCTCCAGCACGGTGGCCAAGATCGACAAGCTGGTGGAGGACATCTCCACCATGCACAACTCCTCGGACGACAGCTTCAGCCTCAGCTCCGAGGATCACTGCCTGGACTGGCAGTACGGCCCCGAGGACGGGCACGAGGCGCGCGCCCAGTCCTGCTCGCCGTGCCGGCTGTCGGACGCCGGCGGCTCGGCCAAGCGGGACAGCCTGAGCCGGGCGCACACCCTGCTGCGCCTGAAGACCGCCTGCACCAGCCTGTCCACCGACAGCCTCAACAGCGGCAGCACCAGCGACGGCTACTGCACCAAGGAGCACATGAAGCCCTGCCCCCGGGCCGCCTTCCTGGACTACCGCGACGAGCTGCAGCGCTACCAGAGGCGGCCCAGCCGCCTCGACCTCAAGAGCATCCTGGGCAAACCCGAACGGGCCGAGCCCCCCGCGCGGGACCCGGCCGAGCCAGACAAACCCGAGCAGCGGGACCTGCCCGAACGGGCCAGGAAGATGGTGACTTTCCCCAGCCCCAAGGTGCCGGAGAAGGAGACGGAGTGGAAGAAGGAAGTGGGCACCAAGCCCCCCACCGACCCCCATGTTCGCACCATCAAGCTCTCTCCGTCCTACCAGCACGTTCCCGTGCTGGAGACCCTGGCCAAGAGCAGCACGGCTGCTGGCCAGCAGCCCTCCCTCCTGGGCAGGAAGCAAGCCTGGCTCCCCCCGGCGCTGCTGCAGGCAGCCGAACCCCTCAGCAAGATCCCGGAGAAGCTGCCGGCCCAGCCAGCGGCCTCGGCAGAGCAGGAGTCCGTGCAGAAGTACTCGGTGGAGGACACCCCGATCTGCTTCTCCCGCTGCAGCTCCCTGTCCTCCCTCTCCTCGGCAGACAACGTGCTGGACGGGCAGAGCCACAGCGAGAACGACCTGGACAGCGACTCCTCCCTGGAGATCCTGGAGATGGAGGAAGGGGACACAGAAGGGGAGGATGTGAGGCAGGAGAAGGGGAAGGCGGTGGATCCGGGTCCCAGCACGCCGGTGGGGATCTCCCAGCCCATCAGCATCCCCTTCCCGAAGCGGGACAAGGTTTTCCTGCGGGAGGCCTCGCCCTCGCGCCAGGAGGACCTGACGCCCTCGAGCTCCTCGGAGAACTACATCCAGGAGACGCCGCTGGTGATGAGCCGCTGCAGCTCCGTCAGCTCCCTGGGCAGCTTCGAGAGCCCCTCCATCGCCAGCTCCATCCAGAGCGACCCGTGCAGCGAAATGATCAGCGGCACCATCAGCCCCAGCGAGCTGCCCGACAGCCCCGGGCAGACCATGCCCCCCAGCCGCAGCAAGACCCCCCTCTTTGAGCTGGGCTGCCAGCCCGAGAAGGAGACCAGCCAGTTCAACATCCAGTGGGAGAACAACGTCAAGAAGTTCATGGAGATCACCGACTTCAAGGAACGCTTCCAGCTGCCCCAGGACCTGGACTCCATGGTCTACTTCACGGTGGAGAAACCCAACGAGAACTTCTCGTGCGCCTCCAGCCTGAGCGCCCTGCCCCTCCACGAGCACTACGTGCAGAAGGACGTGGAGCTGAAGCTGATCCCCACCTTCCCGGAGAAGAACAGCCTGAACTTCGCGGCTCACGAGAAGCGGGAGGAGCGGCGGGAGGAGCGGTACCTGGAGGGCCGGCGAAGGGCCGAGCGCCCCGAGCCCCCCGAGGACGACGACATCGAGATCCTCAAGGAGTGCATCAGCTCGGCCATGCCCTCCCGCTTCCGCAAGGTCAAAACCTCGCTGCTGTCGGGCCAGGTGCTGCACCCGCAGAGCAAGAAGCCGCTGCACGTCCCCGTGTACATGCTGGTGCCGGCCCACGGCCACCCCGGGGTCCCCAGGCACCTGCGAGCCACCGCCCGCGACCTCTTCAAGGACGACGACTCCTTCACCGACTCGGCCGACGGGACCCCCGTCAACTTCTCCAGCGCCGCCTCGCTGAGCGATGAGACCCTGCGGTACCCGGCGGGCGAGGAGGCCGAGCAGCCCCCGGCCGAGCGGCACCGCCGGCCCGGTCCCATCCCCGCCCGCCGGGCCGCCTCCGGTAGCTCGGCCCCCGCCCGCCTCGGCCCCGCCGGGAAGGGCAAAGCGGGGCCGGGCCGCGGGGAGGAGAAGCGCGGCCAGAGCCTCCCGAAGGGCACAGCCGGGCTGGAGCCGGGGGTGGGCCGGGCCGGCGGGGTCCCCGGGAGGAAGGATGATGCTCTGGAGGACGGGGTGATGTTCCAGTCGCTGTGCCACACCACGCCGACGGAGGAAGCCGTCTACTGCTTCTACGAGCCGGATCTGGACGAGCTGCCCGAGCCGGGCGGGGACGGGTCCGGCAGCAGAGCCCAGCCCGGCCGGGCGCCGCGGAGGGAGCGCTGGGGAGGCTCCGTCCCCAACAAGGACCCCGAGCCCGGTCCTCGTCCGGCGAAGACGAAGCCTCAAAACAACCTGATCGCCGACGAGACGCCGCCCTGCTACTCCCTGAGCTCCTCCATGAGCTCCCTGAGCGACGCCCACCTCTCCGAGGGCGAGGAGCGGGGCCAGCCCTGCGGCAAAGCCGCCTGGCCGCGGGCAGCTGCGGCGGGGCAGGCGCAGGGGGGCTCGCCCAGCTCCCCCAGCCTCAACTCGGAGGATGATCTGCTGCAGAAATGCATCGGCTCGGCCATGCCCAAGCGCCGGCGGCCCGCGGCTCGCCGCAGGATGCTGGAGAGAAAGCAGAAGGCGCCGGGCACCGGCGGGAGGGAGCGGAAGCCGAGGTCAGGCATCACCCCGAGGAGCAGGAGGAGGGCGGGTCCGACCGGGGCTCCGACCTGGACAGCGTGGAGTGGCAAGCCATCCAGGAGGGAGCCAACTCCATCGTCACCTGGCTGCACCAGGCTGCCGCCTCCCTGTCCCGGGAGCCTTCCTCCGAGTCCGACTCCATCCTCTCCTTCATGTCGGGGCTCTCGGTGGGCTCCACGCTGCAGCTCTCCCTGGGCAGGCAGGAGAAGCAGCGGCCCGGCAGCGCCTCCGGCCGGGACCCGGCGAGGAGGGAGCGGAGCACGGCCCGCCCGGAGCGCAGGGACGCGGCCGGTGCCCGTCCCGCCGCCCGCGCCACCTCCGGGGCGGAGCGGAGCCCCGCGCCCGCCAAGCCGGTGCCCAACCTGCCCGTGGTTTTCCGCGGCAGGACCGTCATCTACATGCCCAGCCTGGCCAAAGATGCCCCCAGCCCACGGGCCACGCCGAAGAAGAGCCCCGCGGCCAAGCCCGAGGCGCCGCCGGCCAAGAACCTCTCGCTGAGCCAGCAGCGCTCTCGGAGCCTGCACCGGCTGGGCAGAGCCCCCGAAAGCGGCGAGCTGGCGCTGCCCAAGAGGAGCACGACCCCGCCCGCCCGCATCGGCAAAGGGCCCCCCTCCTCGGGCTCCTCCCGCACCTCCACGCCCTCCCAGCACGCCCCCAAAAAGCTGCCGTCGCCCTCCCAGGTCACCAAACCGGCCGCGGGCAAGGCCAGCGGCTCCTCCTCCCCGCCGGGACCCCCGGCCCGAGCCCCGGCCCCCAAATCTCCGGCTCCCAAGCAGTCCAAGACGCAGAAGTCGCCCGTGCGCATCCCCTTCATGCAGAAGCCCAGCAGGAAGGTGCTGCCGGGCCGGGGGGCCATGCCGGTGCTGGAGGAGCACGTCGATGGCTCCAAGGCTCGGGCCGGGGGGCCGGGGGGCAGCCGGCTCAACCTGGTGCGGATGTCATCCGCCCGCTCCAGCGGGAGCGACTCGGACCGCTCCGGCTTCCTGCGCCAGCTCACCTTCATCAAGGAATCCTCCAGCCTGCTGCTGCGGCACCGCTCCGACCTGTCCCCGACGCCCCCGGCCACCTCGCTGCCCCGCCGGGGCTCCCCCCAGCGCAGCCGAGCCGCGCTCCCGGCCGTGTTCCTCTGCTCCTCCCGCTGCGACGAGCTCAAAGCCGCCAAACCGGCCAGCCCCGGCCAGCGGCCGCTCATCCCCCGAGCCCAGCCCGGTGCCAAAGCCACGGCCGGGGCCAAACCGCCGCGCCGGACCAGCTCCGAGAGCCCGTCCCGGTTGCCGGTGAAGAGCGGCGTGCCCGCGGCTGAGCCCTTCAAGCGCTACTCGTCCTCGCCCAACATCAGCGTGGCGCGGCGGGCGGGCAGCCCGTCCTCCGTGCGCTCCGAGGCGGCGGCGCGGCGGCGGCAGAACGAGCCGGTTCCCGGCGGGCCGCCGGCCAAGCCGCCGGTGGTGATGATGAAGGGAACGTGGCGGAGGATCCGCGACGAGGACATCCCGCACATCCTCAAGAGCACGCTGCCCTCCTCCGCGCTGCCGCTGGCGGGTTCTGGCGACGAGGAGCCCCCCGGTACCCCCGGCACGCCCAGGAAAACCAGCGACGCCGTGGTGCAGACCGAGGACTTCGCCACCTCCAAGACCAACTCCAGCACCTCTCCCACGCTGGAGACACGCGAGGGACCCCCGCACCCCCGTGTCACCGGGGATGGCGAAGCCCCCGCGCCCGCCAAGGCCGCCCTGCCCATCTCCTTCGGCCACGAGGTGCCCACCGGGACCTTCCCCGGCAGCCGCCACGGCTCCCCCAGCAAGGCCGCCCGTGTCACCCCCTTCAACTACGTCCCCAGCCCCATGGCGGTGACAGCGGCGGCCGACAAGGCAGTGGGGAAAATCCAAGCCTGATGGTGCCCCAGTGAGGGTCCTGTGACACCCCCAGCCCCGCGGGGACTGTGTTTGGGACACATGTGGGGATGTGGGGACAGCTGGGGACCAGCGAGTCACCCCAACCCGCTGCTGGCCCCGGCTGGGTCTTGCTGTGCTGAAGCATCGCTGTTCCCAGCAGCAAGGATTGGACAGAACTGGGAATGTTCCAGGTTTGGGTGGTTCTCATGGACCGTCCCCTCGCACTGATGGACACCCAGGGACAAGCTGAGGTGGGGCTGTGTCCCCGTGTGTCCCCATCCTGCTCACCCAGGGGCTGATCCCACCCAGGAAAACCCCACCCGCTCCAGCTTGGCTGGCACCAGCTCTGGCTCTGCCAACGGTGGCAGCTCATTTATTAACAGGGAAGGGATGCAGAGGAGAGGCTTTGGAGGGGGAGATGGGGACCAGAACCCCGTTTGGGGGACCAGGATGTCCCGCTGGCGGTTCCTGTTTGCTGACGGGTGACCTGTGCCAGTCTGAGGTGGCAGCAGGTGGAAATGGTGCAGGAGAAGCCGGGCAGAGCTCGTGGGGGCCGGGGCTCATCCCAGGGGCTGCTCCCAGGGTGCTGTCCCCAGGCTGGGGGGCTGCTCTGGGAGAGGACAGGCTGCTGAGCTGGCACTGGGATGCCCAACCCCCAGGAAAGGGTCTGGGGTCACTCACCTTCACTCAGAGCCCCCCCGCCTCCCACCCCCAGGGCAGGAGAGCCCCGGCTCGCAGCCAGGATCCCGGTGTGTCCTTGTGGATGTGGACACGGATCCATCCAGGACTGGATTACGCCCACGGGCACAGGGCCTGCCAGCCCCAAAACCCGGGGGACACCCCCACTCCTGCTGCCAGCCGGGCCCAGGTGCCAGAATTGGGGTGTGTGGGAAGTGCCTCGACCCCTGGGAGGGGGGTGGGCTGCAGAGGGACCCCCAGTCCAGGTGGTCCAGCCCCCTGGGATACCTCCAGTGCTACTCCATCGCTCCCTGTGGATGGGTGACCTCTGTGCCCCCATCCAGTGCCACAGCGGGGCTGTAGGGACAGAGCCGGGGCTATGGGGACATGTGCAGGGGACACACCTGGGTGGCTGTGGGAACACACTGAGGAGCTCTGGGTTGCACTGTGGGGCCAGGGAGACACCAGGACTGTGGGGATATGCAGGGGGTCCCCAGGGACGAGCACTGGGGTCATGGGGATGGGCACTGGAGCCCCTCTGCCCTGGCAGCGGCCGGGACTGAGGAAAAGGAGGAAAATCCCAGGAGCAGCACTCCTGAGAGCCCTAACGGAGCGCAGGGGTGGCAGGAGGGCAGCATCGCCCCTCGGCTACAAACCACCTCCCTCCCCTCCTCCACCGACAATCCCGCCGGGCTCTGCCGGGCTCCGCTCACTGTATCTATGTATAAGGATGTTATTTTAGCAGCCTCTGGACAGTATTCCCAATTAAAAACCAACCTGTGTAAATAAGAAGGAGCGTTTGGTGTCTCCCGGGTGTTTGGGCTGGCCGGATCCGCAGCGTTTTCCGGATCCATTTCTTGTATTTGACGGTCGAGGTGGCCACCGGCGGCTTGCAGGGGTCGCGGGGGTTCCTGCTGCTGAAGGACACCACACCGGCCACCACCGGACACCGAGGGACCCCCGAGTCACCCTGAGGGGGAGGTGACACCGGGGAGTGGCCACGGGGACAGGGACCCCACCAGGCCATGGGGGACATCCCGCCCACTCAGGGTGAGCATCCCCCCCGCACCCGGACCCCCCCGCAGCCGGGCTGGGGGTGGGCAGAGCTTTGTAGCCCCCGGACCCCCAAAGCTGCCCCTGGGTGCAGATGATGGCGGGGCCGATTTCGCCGTGCCAGAAGCGGCTGTTGATGCATTTCTGCGCGTCCATCACCGTCACCTCCAGCTCCTGCAGGGTGGGTGACGGATTCCGACCCTGGGGGTCCCCCAGCTGCGGGCGGGGGGCGGCGTCAGAGCCCCCCACCATGGGCAGAGGGGCTGGCAGGGAGCGCCCCAACACCGCCAGGGTGGGGGGTCAAAGGGGAGCCCCCCAATGCTGCATCCCCCCGAGGGCCGCGGCTCGGAGGGGAGCGGGGAGGTGACAGCCAGGTGTGAAACCTCTTGGGGGGGTGACAAGAGGAAATGTCACCGCTCGCCCCGGCTGCGAGCGCGGCGGCAGCGACACCGTGCGAACAGCGCCGTCCCCGCCCCGGGAGTGCTGTCCCGGTGCAGCTGCCGAGCTGGAGGAGCCCCGGGTGACATAAGCTTCTGGGGACACCTGGGGACACCTGGGGACACCTGGTGCTACCGGGGGGTGGGGTGTGGGAATCCAGAGCTTCCCTCTGGCTGCCCTGGGACCCTGGCAGGGGTCAGGAACCCCCCTGGACAGAGCCCCCAGAGACACTGCCTGTGATCTCTGTCCATGGAAAAGAGTTTTCAATCTTACAGGATCAATTACCAGCTCTGAGTGTTTGATATAAGTAATAATTAAGTGTGGCACGGGTGCAAAAGTAAAATTTTAGGATTCTAGATTAGGGGTCCAAAGGGGACAAGATGGAGGAAATTGGGTGTGCCTTGTCCTTTTTCTCCTTCTTCATGCCCTCCATGTTTCACTGTGGTGTTGGCATTTTTCTGTTGGTTCAGGCTGGGGACACACTGTCCAACGTAGGTGACAGATATTGGCACGTTATTGTAAATCCAGCACAGGTAGTTTCTGGTATTTAATGTTTGTACCATCCCACTGAGGGCAGAGCCCCACACGCTGCCCTGCAGGACAGAGCTGCGGCAGGGCAGCAGAACATGTTAGAGATAAACAGAATAAACAACCTTGAAACAGCACAGACCAATTATGGCTTCTGCTTTGGCAGCGGGGCTGAAAGACAGAGACTTTTACAATTTTGGGATCATCAATAGCACAGATTCCGACAGTGGGGGAGTGTTTTGGGGTGCCTTCCCCACCTTGCTCATCTCCTTGCAGAAGACGTGGTGGAGGTTGGAGATGTTCTGGAACACGGTGATGTGACCTGTGAGGGTGGGAAACACCCACAGCCCCCCAGCGCTCGGCTCTGCAGACCGAGAGCGGCACCTTCAGCTCCCAAAAATGGGGCTTGATGAGGTTTAGGCCAGCCCACAGTGTTGCATGATGCATTCCCAGCACCTTTATTAGCAAAACTGAGCAGTTTTTCACACCGTGGGGCGGTGCTGCCCCCACCCAGCCCCTCAGTTGGCGCCCTTGGGTGGCACCCGCCTGTGCCCGCCCCTCGGGCGTGCCCTCAGGCTGGCCAGCAGCCGCTGGAAGAAGAACTCGTTCTGGTATTCCAGCGGGACGAGGTGCTGCAGGAACGGGGGCAGCTGGGCCCTGCTCAGCCCCACGCACACGGGGAGCACCCTGGGGCCGCGCTGCTGGATGCTGCGGAACAGGTTCCACTGGGACACGCGCTGGCACCACCGGTCACCCACGGACCGGGCCGAGAGCAGCAGGATGGCCACACGGCTGGCCTCGATGGCCTCCATGGCCGTCAGGATGGCAGATGTCCCGGCTGCTTGGTCCTGGTGCTCGGTGAAGCCCCGAAATCCCTCCTCCCTCAGGCGCTCTGCGATGCGGGACGCGACGTGGTCATCCTCGGGGACGTACCAGAGGGAGAAGTCGTAGGGAGCAGAGGATGTGCCACCCACGGGGGACGTGGCAGCCGCCTCAGGGGCAGAAGGAGGGGTGCAAGCCTTCATCCCAGCACCAGGAAGGTGTCACTGTGCCGGCCTGGCGGCTCCAGAGCTCCCTGGCAAAAGGTCACTGGGGTGGCACAGCCGGGGCTGTCCCGCAAACCCGGATCCTCCAGATGCAGAAGGTTTTGGGGAGGTGAAAGCACAGCGTGGGGTGTCCCGAGGCGCCCACCGGGCTTCCTCAGAACGCTTTCTGCCTCATCTCGGCGATGCCGCGCTCCAGCGCCTCCCCGGCCCTCTGCAGCTCCCGGCGCCGCTCCCGCAGCTGCTCCCGGGAGCGCTGCAGCCGCTGGTTCATCCCCACGTAGGAACGGATCTGCCGGTACCGCCGCTCCCGCTCCTCGGCCGCGGGCTCGGGGCAGCCTGGCGGGCAGAGCCGGGGCTCAGCGGGGCTGGGGGCGGGATGGGGGTCCCCGCTGCCGCCCCTTCCTTCCCCAGCGGGGCTCACCTGGAGCGGGGCCGGGGTCCTGCGGGGGCTCGGCCGGGAGGAGGAACGCGGGGTCGGAGGGGGACGAGCCCTGAACGTCGGCCAGGATCTGCTCCACGCTGGGAGGCTCAGGGCGGGTGAGCAGCACCCGCTTGGCCTTGGAGCTCATCCCGGGGGGGGATCATGGGGGACAGGCTGCGGGAGGGGGGAGGTGAGGGGCTGCGGTGTCCCCAGCCCGACAGACAGACAGACAGACAGACAGAGAGACAGACACCTCCCCTTCTCTACCCCCCCAGCCCGACAGACAGACAGACAGCTCCCCTTCTCTATCCCCCCAGGGCGGACAGACCCCCTGTGCTGCCCTTTGGACAGACAGACAGACAGACAGACAGACACCTGCCTGCCTCCCAAACAGACACACAGATGCCCCCCCACCAAGACAGACCGACTCCCTTCCCCCCAGACGGACAGACTGCCCCACCCCGCCCTTTGGACGGCCAGACAGACGGACAGGCCGCTCCCTGCCCCCGCCCCGGACAGACAGACGGACAGACAGACAGACGGACAGACAGGCAGAGCCCCACCCCCGCACTGACAAACCGGCCCCCTCCGCCCCCCGGACACACCGGCAGAGCCCCCCCGGTCCCCCCACCGGACAGACCGACCCCCGGGAGCGCGGACGGACAGACAGACGGACCCCCGGAACTCGGCCGCACTTCCGCCACGCCCCGTGACGTCATCACAACAGCCCCGCCCCCTGTCCAGAGGCTCCGCCCCCTGCCGCTCTTAAAGGCGCCGCGCGGTGTCACGGAACACGCGGGACGGGAGCGGCGCTCGGTGGGCACCGGGGTTTATTGGGGGGCTGGGGGACAACGGACTCAGACTGCAGAAATTCGGGATCCCGGGCTGGCCGGTACCGTTAACAGGGCCATGCTGCCGGTACCGGTACCGGCGTCTGTATGGGGAACTTCGGTGCCAGAACGGAGGGTGCCGGTATCAGTACCGGGAGCACGGTGCCGGTACCGGCGTCTTTAGTGCCGGTAGGAGGGACTTCGGTGCCAGAACGAGGGTTGCCGGTATCAGTACCGGGAGCATGGTGCCGGTACCGGCGTCTGTATGGGGAACTTCGGTGCCAGAACGGAGGATGCCGGTACCAGTACTGGGAGCACGGTGCCGGTACCGGCGTCTTTAGTGCCTGTAGGAGGGACTTCGGTGCCAGAACGGAGGATGCCGGTACCAGTACCGGGAGCACGGTGCCGGTACCGGCATCTGTATGGGGAACTTCGGTGCCAGAACGGAGGATGCCGGTACCAGTACCGGGAGCACGGTGCCGGTACCGGCGTCTGTAGTGCCGGTAGGAGGGACTTCGGTGCCAGAACGAGGGTTGCCGGTACCAGTAGCGGGAGCACGGTGCCAGTACCGGCGTCTGTATGGGGAACTTCGGTGCCAGAACGGAGGATGCCGGTACCAGTACCGGGAGCACGGTGCCGGAACCGGCGTCTGTAGTGCCGGTAGGAGGGACTTCGGTGCCAGAACGGAGGATGCTGGTACCGGTACCGGGAGCACGGTGCCGGTACCGGCGTCTGTAGCGCCGCTAGGAGGGACTTCGGTGCCAGAACGGAGGATGCTGGTACCAGTACTGGGAGCACGGTGCCGGTACTGGGGCCGCCAGTGCCGGTACCGATGCCCGTACCGGCGTTGCGGTGCCGGTACCAATGGCCCCGGTGCCCCTCTCACTTCGCCTTCTGCACTAACTCTGTCAGGTTCAGGGATGCTCTGACGCCTGCGGAGACACGGATGGCGTTAGTGCCCGTCCCGGGGGCAGTGCCCGGTGTCCTGGGGCACTGCCCGGCCCCGCGTCACCGTCCCGCTGGGCACGGCGGTGACAGCCGGTCCTGCCGGGGAGCCCCGGGTCGGCAACAGCGCTGGGGGGACCGTGGGCACAGGGATGGACAGACGGATGGACAGACGGATGGACGCACGGATGGGGTCTGGCTACGGAGAAGCGGGAGGGAAGCGCCTGCTCTACCCACGGCACGGGAGAACGGGCCGGTTGTGCGGGAGCAGAGCGGTTTTTGGGAGCAGGCCCCGTCCCCGCTCGGTACCTACGGGCAGGCTGGGCTGTGGGGCCACCCCGGCCGCCAGCCGGGCTCTGCTCTTGGCCAGAGTCTGCAGGACTGCACCGCGCAGCGCAGAGAGGAGAGAGAGGTTAGAGAGGGCACCGCGACCCCCGGGGCTCCTGGCACGGGGCTGGGCCCACGGGCACCAGAAGTAATCACCTGCTGGTAATTAATGAGCTCGCTGGGCAAAGCGGACACGGAGCAGGAGGGACACGGGGGACCGGAGTTACCTTCCCGGGTGACGGTGGAGGCCGCGTCCAGGGCCCTGGTGCCGATGTCACCCATCATGTTGTCCACGGCGCGGTGGTGCTTGAGGAAGAAGGGCCGGATGATGGTGCGGTAGATGACCTGGGAGCCGTTCCAGGGCACGGGGGCCATGCACCACACCAGGAACAGGCACTGCGGGCACAGCGGGGGCTCAGCTGCTCCAGGGCCACCCAGCAGTGCCCAAGGCTGCAGCTCACTGGAGGTCCCAGCATCTGAGCTTGTGGTGGTGTGGTTTTTATTTAATTTGATATTTGTTTAGTGCCTGTTCATACCCCCACCCATAATCTCCTCCTCTCCCCAGTTGTCAATCTTCCCTAGCTCCTGTTGTATTTTGTTAATGAAGTTTATATTATTTATATGCTATATTGCTTAAATATCAGAACTCTCCTTCTTTTATATAAGTGATTGGTAAGGTTACGATATAATTTTGTTGTATTTAGTGTATGAAGTTTACATTATTTGCATGTTGTATTAATTTCCTTAAACCGCAGATTTCTCCTTCCTTTTGTAAAAACAAAGGGGGAGATGTGGTGGTGTGTTTTTTATTTAATTTGATATTTGTTTACTGCCTGTTCATACCCCCACCCATAATCTCGTCCTCTTCCCAGCTGTCAATCTTCCCTAGCTCATCCCTAACCCCCTCCTCTCCAAGATGTCAATCTTCCCTTTCCCTGCCCCTTTCCCTGGAACATTCCCTGTCATTCCTACTAGTCCCCTCCCCTGCTTCCAGAGCATTCCCTGTCTATTTAGTGAGGTTCAACACCCTATAGGTTACTTTGTGTTACTCCACTCCCCTGTTTTCCCTGATAGGTTTGTGATATGTTAGTCCTGCCCTAAACTCCTCCCCTGCTATTCCCCTATTAGTTGCTGTTCCTAAACCCTCCTCCTGAGTTCTGGTATAAAACCTTTGTTCGCCCTCCCGGGAGGGTCTTGGGGCTCAGTGAATAAATTCATTCTGTTCACCCCCAACTCCCGTGTCACCTCCATCTGTCCCCACACCCATAACCGGGACTGCAGAGCTTCGCAGGGGGAGCAGCCGCCCGTTCTCTTCCCTCTCCACCCAGCACGGCACCGCTCGGGGTATGGCATGAGAGGAGCTGACCATGACACAACACCCTCTGATGCCTTCAGTTCCAGCTTTCACGTATTCCAGGCTCTGCACTGCATTAATTTATAACTCTGGACTTCACAGCAAGTTCTCCTCACAGCCCAGGCACACAATCCTTTTCCAGCCCCAGAACCAAGGACGCCGCTGCAGCTTCAGGCCCAAAAAGTATCAACAACAGCAAATTTAGGAGAGCAAACTTGGGTGCATGGGACTGCATAACCCACAGCTGGAATTGGACAATTCACCCCAAAATGGACCAAAACCCAAGACCCGGGGGGGTCCATCTTGGGTGTAGCCACGGCCGGGCTCTCACACTGCCCAAGGTGGATCCTGCAAAAGGTTTTTAATAAATCCCTGCTTTATTCCTTTCACACCATCTAGCCTCTGTTTCTGGGAGCCTCTTTGGGCATGTCCACCCGGTGCTCAGAGCCCAGCAGAGCAGCTCAGCTCCTCCTGTGCAGCCGTGGCACGGGAGGAGCCCGACACCGCTGTTACCTTCCCGGCGTAGTAGAAGGGGAACCAGTAGAGGAAAAGGTCGGAGAAGAACTCGGCGATGCTGAAGACGCCGTAGACCACCCAGTAGGTGAGCCACATGGTGTCATCCTCCTTGCTGTTGCTCTCGATGGCTTTGATGCTGAGGAAGGAAACAAGGAAGGAAGGAATGAAACAAGGAAACAAGGAAGGAAACAAGGAAGGAAAGAAGGAAAGAAGGAAGGAAGGAAGGAAGGAAGGAAGGAAGGAAGGAAGGAAAGAAGGAAGGAAGGAAGGAAGGAAAGAAGGAAGGAAGGAAAGAAGGAAACAAGGAAGGAAGGAAGGAAGGAAGAGAGAAAGAAAGGAAACAAGGAAAGAAGTAAGGAAGGAAACAAGGAAGGAAGCAAGGAGGGAAAAAAGGAAACAAGGAAGGAAACAAGGAAGAAAGGAAGGAAGGAAGCAAGAAAGGAAGGAAAGAAGGAAACAAGGAAAGAAACAAGGAAGGAAAGAAGGAAGAAAACAAGGAAGAAAGGAAGGAAGGAAGAAAGGAAGGCCACGGCTGCTGCAGTCCTGGGCTGGCTCCACCTTCCCAAATCGCCCAGCCCGGAGGGAACCTGCCCACTGGCTGCTCTGGGCTGGCACGCTCCCAGCCTTTCCAGGAAGGTCTCAAGGGCTTCCCAGCCATAATCGCCTCTGGGCCGAGCAGGGAGACCCTCAGCGAAGGGCAGGGAGCGCTCTCCAGGTGTGGGACAGGTACTTACGAGAGGTAGGCGGGGTAGACGAAGCCGATGAGGTTGCAGAGCAGGGAAGCGCCGTAGCCGAACACGAGGTAGAGCCCCAGGAAAGCCAGGGAGCCTGCGGGGCACAGGGGATGCTCTGCAGCCTGCTGCCACCAGGGGAGACCCCGCTCGGTCTCCTGAGCGGGATTCTCATCCCAGAGCAGCAACGGGCCGTGTGCCAGGGGGTAAATTCCACGTGGCGGAGGAGCTCGATGGAACGAGGCATGCGGCGGAGGCTGCTCCCCCCCGAGGGAGCCGTGACCCCCTCCCCTGCCTGGGATGGGACTTCACCACCCCAATCTCGCAGCACTTTCGCCCCTGGAGCGGAGCCAGGGCGGCAGGAGACGCCGACAACACGCCCATGGTCCAAAGTCAAGGCTCCGCTCGGCTCCGCTCGGCTCCCCCCACGCGGGGCCCGGAGCCGCCGGGAATTCCCGGAGCTCCGGTTCAAGGACGAGCCCTGAGCCCCGAGCAGGCGCTCCCGAGGCCGAGCAGCCCGGCAGAGGAAGGCTCGAGGCCGAGCAGCCCGGCAGAGGAAGGCTCGAGGCCGAGCAGCCCGGCAGAGGAAGGCTCGGCTCCCCGGGAGCTGCAATCCAATCCCGCTGCCCTGCCGCTCAATTAGATCGCTCAATTAAAATTGGAGCTGTCAGGGGCTGGAGCCTGCCCAGCGCCAGGACGCTCGCAGGAGGCTGCAGAGGAGCTGGGAGAAGGTGGCACACGGAGCTTTTGGGCAGGAAAACCTCAGGGATACTCGGGATGGAGCATTTTGTGTGTCCCACCGGGACAAACTCCTCCAGCAGCAGCGAGAAACTGGGAATTAACCTGACTGTGCTGGTGAATTAAAGTCCTTGCTCGGGTTTTGAGAGTGGATAATCCCAGCTCTGCTCCCTGCAGCATTCCTGGCCTGAGCTCCGGGGCACCCACAGCTCCGGGTCTTTCCTGGGACACTGGGCAGGAGCAAAGTGGCTTTGGAACAATCCCAAACCTCCCTCCAAGGAGGGCAGGCAGGTCCAGGCAGTGCTGGGTTTCATTCCCCAAGAGCCTTAGAAGGGATTTCGCTGGATTTAAACTCCCAGAGAAATTTATGTAACAGCAAAAACCCAGGTAAGGTTTCGCTGAGGGAGCAGCTGGAGGTGGTGCTGCCCAGAGGTTGCTCCAAACCCCAGCCCACGGGCTCAAACACAAATTAGGGACTGCTCCAGAGCTATGGGAGGGAGAAATCGGGAATTTTTAGTTCAGCAACAGCTTCTCCTTTCCAGGACAGGGATCCAGAATGTGGAACCATCCCTTTTTGGTGGGGCCACTCTTGTTCTACCCCCAAAGTCCATCACGGCTGAGCCTGACCAAATCCCCGGGATTGTTTTGCTTGGAAGATGCTTGAGTGGCACCAAATTTCGAACGGAGCACGTGGACGAGGCCAGTTCAAGTTGGCAGAGAGGGCACAGGGCCGAGGGTCAGAGGAGAGGGGGCATGGCGTGCCAGGAGGAGGATCCCCGGGGAGAATCCGGCTGGTTCCTCATTAATGAACAACAGGGATCCGGTTAAAGGCCGGATCCGCACGGTCCCACCGGTGGGACACGGGGACGAGCTGCCATCCCCAGTGTCCCATCTGACCCACCACGATCTAGGGGCTCACCCAGAATAGGGACCCCCCCGTCAGGGCCAGGGGTCCCGAGGGTCTCTCTGACACCTCTGACACTCGGACCCTTCAGAGCTTTGGGGTTCCGGGATTCGGTGCCTGCGGAAGGCGAGGGCAGCGCGGTGACAGCGATGTCACCCCCGGCACCCCCACCCCCTCCGCACCCCCAAACCAGCGCGGTCCTGCCTGCCCTCCCCGTGCCCTCGTGCTGCGCCCAGAGCCACGGTGAGCAGCTGCTAAGACACCCCCGATATGGGGGAGAAGGGGACAGAACCGGGGCGAACCGGGGAGGCCCCGCGGTACCGGTCGCACCTGTGGCCAGGTAAAGCCGTTGGACGCCGGTACGGGCTTCCAGCCGAGCCAGCAGGTCGCCGATGGGGCCGGGGCTGTGGAGGAAGCGCTCCAGGCGCTGCTGCACGGAGCCCATGGCGGCGGTGGCGGCGGTGAAGCGGCGGCGGCGGCCCCGGAGCGGCCCCGGTGCGACCCCGGCCCGGTGAGCGCTCCGCTGGGGGCGTGTCCGGGGGCGTGGCCAGCGGGAGCGGGGCGGTGCTCAGCGGAGGGGCGCGGCCAATGGGAGGGCGGGGCTGGGATCAGCGGGCCAATCAGGCGCGGCCGTGCGGGGGCGGGGCCGACGCTGTTGCCATGGCAGCGCGGCCTCATGGCGGCCCGGCCCGGCCCGGCGCTGCCGCCGCTCCCGGTGCTGCTCCCGCTGCTGCTCCCGCTGCTGCTCGCGGTGGCCGCCGCCGCCCCGCCGGGCCCTGCCAAGCCCCGAGTCTATCTCAGCAGCTGGGCCGTGCGGGTGGCGGCGGGGCGGAGGGACGCCCGGGCTCTGGCCCGCCGGCACGGGCTGCTCTACCTGGGCCAGGTGCGGCCCGGGCGGGGAAGGCGGGCCCGGCCCACCCCGTGTGCCTTTGGCCCGGTCTTCTTGCTGGTAGCTGCCCTGTGTTCGTCCCCTTCGCTTGTCCCATGGGCAGGGATGTCTTCCATTAAGCCACGTTGCTCCAAGCCCCGTCCAACACTTGCTCAACACTTCCCCTCCAACCCTTCCTGGGAATCTGGGAATTCTTGGGAATCTGGGAATTCTGTGCCAGCGTCCCCCCAGCCTCAGAACAAACGGCCTCTGAGCGTGCAGGGGTCAGCGAGGGACCCCCGAGGCACCCACCCCTCCCCAGGGCTCTGCGCTGTCCCCAAGTGACACTTTCTGCCTGTCCTGCTCGTGTTCAATCCACCCTTGTGACCTGCAAACCCCCGGGCCCCCAGAAAAGCTCAGAGCAGCTCTTTGTGCCCGCAGGTGATGGAGGGAGAGCCCTTCCATCACTTCAGCCACCGCGGCAGCCGGCAGAGAGCCCTGAGCCAGCACTGGGGGTGGCACATGCGGCTCACCAGGGACCCCCAGGTAGGGAGGAAGGTCTGGGGGACCAGGGGACAGCGGTGGGCAGGCACGGCCCGGTGCCCACAGCGCTGCTCCCCACCCAGGTCCTGTGGTTTGAGCAGCAGACGCTGAAGAGACGCTCCAAGAGAGGCACGGGCGTGGTGCCCACGGACCCCTGGTTCCCCAAGCAGTGGTACATGGTGAGACCCGGCTGCTTCCCCTCCTCATCCCCGCCCCAGCTGTGGGATGGAGGGGAGCAGTGGCACAGCCAGTGCCCCCTCCCTGCTCAGCACCATCCCAGGGGCCCAGGATTGGGTCTGGATTGTTCTGGGATATCCCCAGGGAGGGAAACCCCACAGCCCCTCTGGGCTCTGTTCAGGGCTCAGGCACTGCACACTGAAGAAATTCTTTCTCCTGTGCAGGGGAATTCCTGGGATCAGTCCCTGCCCCTTCCCAGAGATGGGCACAGCACCCCAGATATGGGCACAGCACCCCAGAGATGGGGGCACAGCGCCCCAGAGATGGGCACAGCATCCCAGAGATGGGCACAGCACCCCAGAAATGGGCACAGCACCCCAGAGATGGTCACAGCACCCCAGACTGGGCACAGCACCCCAGAGCTGGGCACAGCACCCCAGATATGGTCACAGCGCCCCAGATATGGGGGCACAGCACCCCAGAGATGGGCACAGCACCCCAGAGATGGGGGCACAGCAGCCCAGAGATGGGGGCACAGCAGCCCAGAAGCACCTCCAGGGCCGAGCAGAGGGCAGGACCCCTCCGTGCCCGCTGGCAGTGCCCTTCCCAGCGCCCCACACAGACACAACCACAGCTAATGCCGGCAGTGATGAGGCAGCAGGGCTCCGCGAGGTGACCCCGGCTGCTGAGCAGATTTAATCTGTTTTCCAGAACAACGACGTCCACCCCGACCTGAACATCCTCACGGCCTGGAGCAGAGGCTACACGGGGCTGGGGGTGGTGCTGGCTGTCCTGGACGATGGGCTGGAGAAGGATCATCCCGACCTGGCTGCCAACTACGTAATTATGGGGGGTCCAGGGAGCTGCTCCTCCAGGGAGGGGGGGTCGATGCTTTCAGCCCACCTCCAGCGCTGCTGGTGGGAGCTCGGCCCCTCCAGGGCTGGATCCAGGGTTTGGAGCCTCCCACGGTGCAATCTCACATTGGGGAATGTTCCAGCTTGTCCACACAGCGGAGCCCCCGGAGAGGTGTGATTCCAGCAGCTGCAGAGGCAGCACAGCGGGCAAAGCCTCCTGGGGAAGGACAAACAGTCCTGGCGGTGTGGGACTCTGCCAGGGCTCCTCTCCCGGGTCACCCTCAGGGCTGGCCTCTGTCAAACAGCAAAGCTGTGCTGCTTTCAGCCCCTCCTGCACAACCCCAGAGCCACCCAGGCTGGAAAAGGGCTTCAGGATCATCCAGTCCAACCTGTGCCCACCTTCTCACCAGCCCAGAGCGCCCAGTGCCACCTCCAGCCCTTCTGTGGGCACCTCCAGGGACTCCAAACCTCCCTGGGCAGCCCCTGCCAAGGCCTGCCCGCCTTTTCCATGGGGAAATTCCTGCTGAGGTCCCACCAGGCACAGCCTGAGGCTGTTCCCTCCTGTCCTTGTGCCCCCTGCTCCTCCTTTTCTCCGGGCTGAGCCCCTTGCCCAGCTCCCTTCCCTCTCAGGACTCGGTTTAGCTCCCAGCCAGCTGGGCACGAAGGGGCCCCGCTGTCCCCCGGGCTGGCAGGCGGGTCCCTCGGTGGTGCCAGCGCCGGGCTGGGTGCCAGGCGCCTGTGCCAAGCTGTCACAGCCCTGCCGGGCGCTCACGCCGCTGCCTCGCCGTGTAACAGGACCCGCTGGCCAGCTACGACTTCAACAGCAACGACCCCGACCCCCAGCCCCGATACAGCAACAGCGACAAGAACTGGTGGGTCCTGCCCAGCCCCCCACACTGGGGGGGTCATTCTGGGGCTGTCCCAGGCCCCCCACCCCTCTCAGGGTCACTGTGTCCCCCCCAGGCACGGCACACGCTGCGCAGGGGAAGTGGCAGCCGTGGCCAACAACGGAATCTGCGGTGCCGGCGTCGCCTACAACGCCAAAATCGGAGGTGAGATGTTGCTCCTCTGTGAGGGAAGCTGGAAATCAGCTCCAGCCCCCTGTGGGGCTGCTCTGGGCTTTACAGGGGTGGGCAGGGTGGGTGCTGCCCCACATCAGGCTCGGTGCTGCCCCACATCTGCGGTGCCGGCATCGCCTACAACGCCAAAATTAGAGGGGAGATGTTGGGAAGGAATTTGGAAATCAGCTCCAGCCCCCTGTGCAGATGCAGGAGCTCAGGTGGGGCTGCTCTGGGCTTCACAAGGTGGGTGCTGCCCCACATCAGGCTCGGTGCTGCCAAGGCTTTGATGCTCAGCCCCACACCAGCAGGGCAGGCTCAGGCTCCGCTGTGGAAGTGAAGGTGGCAAAGGGGGGTTAAAAGCCAGGAGCACTTAATTACAAAAGGCTTAATGAGGAGCTTTGGGAAGGGCACAGACACGAGGGGGCCTGATCTCCTTAGGGCAGGGGCAGTGAAAGCTCCGGGCCCTGCTCTCGGTGTGGCTCGTGTCCCCTCGGAGCCACCTCGGCCACGGCTGCCCGGTGCCGTCCCCCAGGCGTGCGGATGCTGGACGGCTCCATCACGGACATGGTGGAGGCCCAGGCCCTGAGCCTGCAGCCCCAGCACATCCACATCTACAGCGCCAGCTGGGGCCCCGAGGACGATGGCAGGACGGTGGACGGGCCGGGAGTCCTGGCTGCGGCTGCTTTCCACAGAGGGGTGGTCCAGGTAAGCCCAGCCTGACCTCGGGGGTCACAGGGACACGAGGACACCCTGCTCACCCCCTCTGCTCTTCCACAGGGACGGGGTGGGCTCGGCTCCATCTTCATCTGGGCCTCGGGCAACAGTGGCACCAACTACGACAACTGCAACTGCGACGGGTACACCAACAGCATCTACACGGTGTCGGTGGGCAGCGTCCTGGGGGACGGGCAGCGGCCCCGCTACGGCGAGAGCTGCCCCGCCATCCTCACCACCACCTACAGCAGCAGGAGCAGCAGCGAGGTGCAGATGGTGAGTGTCACAGCAGCTCTGCCAGAGCAGCAGCTCCGGGCCGGGCACCGACCCAGCACCGGGCTGGGGTCTGTGTCCCGAAAGGGGAATTTCCTGAAGGGACCTGTTATGTGTAGTAGATATAATTCATAGATATATCACATATAATGTGATATTGAATATTTGTTAGACCAACTGGAAACTGATTTACAAGTAAGAAGGTACAGCTCACCAGGAGATGGGCCATGGCTGGGGAGATACAGAAACCCCAGGTGCTGATCATCAAACCCCAGGTGCTGATTGTGTGAACTACCCAAGATGGATCTCATGGAAATCCTCAGGCAGATCCATGTGAACACAGCGTTCCCGAATTCCCTAAATTTCATCAAGGGATTCAACAAACTCCAGACACTGAATTGTTCTCCCTCATCACCAAAAAAGAAAATCTTATTAACATATGGACTCTGAATAGAAGAAAAGACTGATTGCTGAAATCTTGGCCTCAGGTGGAATTTTCCCTATAAAAACCGCTTGTGCCAGGATGGAGGTGTGTGGGCATGGAGGAAAACCTCTGCTGAGGCTGACTTCTGGTGCCCACCCCGGGCTCAGCTCTGCTCTTCCCTTGTAGCTGGCTAGGTAGAATTGGATTGCAAAACAAATACTTTATTTTTTCATATTAATTTGGCTGGACAAATTTTCATTTATAACAGTACCAAACTGCAGGCAGCTTTCTTGGAAACCATCATGAGACCCCCCTGTCCCCCCAGGTGACCACTGACCTGCACCACCGCTGCACAGACAAACACACCGGCACCTCTGCCTCGGCCCCGCTGGCTGCGGGCATGGTGGCCCTGGCGCTGGAGGCCAAGTAGGTGACACTGAGACAGGGACACTACCCAGGGAGAGCAGGGGGTGAGAAAGGGGAGGGGCAGCAGGAAGGTTGGGTTCCCCCAGGGCCATGGGAGAGCAGGAGGGTTGTCCTCTGGAGCTCTTTGCTCCTGTTTTGTCACCAAAACAGGTTGTGGGGGGATCACCTTGGGCTGACAGTTGCTCTGCCCACCCCAGAAGAACCAAATCTCCCCGTTAAAAACTAACCCAGACCTCTGCCCTGCATCCTCCTTGCTTCCAGCCCAGCCCTGAGCTGGCGTGACCTGCAGCACCTGATCATCAGGGCCTCCAGACCCGCTCACCTGCAGGCAGAGGACTGGGCTGAGAACGGCGCTGGGCGCAGGGGTGAGTGCAGTGCCACCCCAACACCTTCCAGCAGCCCCCTGGTGGCACCCAGGGGCTCACGGGTCCCTCTCTTGGGTGGCACCTCGTCCCAGTGAGCCACTACTACGGCTACGGGCTGCTGGACGCGGGGCTGCTGGTGCAGGCGGCCTCCATGTGGACGGGGACGCGGCCCCAGGAGAAATGTTCGATCCAGGCTGTCCAGGTGCCCAGGTAAGGGACAGTCACCCCAGCTCCAGCCTCCCACGGGGACTTGCTGTGCCCACCAAAGAGTGATCTGTGCTGTGCTTGGAGCCCCCTGGCAGGGGAGGGACTGCCCTCCTCACCTGCAGCGTGTCCTCCACAGGGACATCGGCTCCAGGCTCACCATCTCCACGGATGCCTCCTCCTGCTCCAAGAGCATCCGCTCCCTGGAGCACGTCCAGGTGCAGCTGTCCCTGAGCTACAGCCGCAGGGGGGACCTGCTGGTGGCTCTGAGCAGCCCCATGGGGACCAAATCCACGCTGGTGACAGTGCGGTAAGGACAGACGGGAGCACCGGCGCTCCCCAGGCTCCCAAAAAAGGGCTCACTGAGCCCAAAACGCCTCTGCAGCCCTGCCCCTTGGGAAGTGCCCCCTCGGAGCAAGCACAGGGTGACCCTTCAGGTCACACCCTGCCCCTGCAGGCCCTGGGGTTGGCACTCCCAGCTCTGCTCTCCTCCTCCAGCCCCTACGACACCAGCCAGGACGGCTACAAGGACTGGACCTTCATGTCCACACACTTCTGGGATGAGAACCCCAAGGGGATCTGGACCCTCCAGCTGGAGAACAGGGGTGATGCCCAGAACACAGGTGGGTGCCCCGTGGAGAGAGAACCCCATTTTTACTGGGGTAAGCCTGTGTTTGGTCGTGCTTCTTCCCCCCCCCACCCCATGGATGGGCAATTTGTTGGGTTCTCCTTCCTGGCCACAAGTGCTCTGGTGTTTGAGGGTCTCCCTGGCTGTCGGAATCTGAGCTATTGATGATTCTGAGATTGTAAAAAGTCTCTGTCTGTCAGCCCCGTTGCCAAAGCAGAAGCCATAATTGGTCTGTGCTGGTTTCAAGGTTGTTTATTCTGTTTATCTCTAACATGTTCTGCTGCCCTGCCGCAGCTCTGTCCTGCAGGGCAGCGTGTGGGGCTCTGCCCTCAGTGGGATGGTACAAACATTAAATACCACAAACTACCTGTGCTGGATTTACAATAACATGCCAATATCTGTCACCTACGTTGGACAGTGTGTCCCCAGCCTGAACCAACAGAAAAATGCCAACACCACAGTGAAACATGGAGGGCATGAAGAAGGAGAAAAAGGACAAGACACACCCAATTTCCTCCATCTTGTCCCCTTTGGACCCCTAATCTAGAATCCTAAAATTTTACTTTTGCACCTGTGCCACACTTAATTATTACTGATATCAAACACTCAGAGCTTGTAATTCATCCTGTAAGATTGAAAACTCTTTTCCATGGGCAGAGATCACAGACAGTGTCTCTGGGGGCTCTGTCCAGGGGGGTTCCTGACCCCTGCCAGGGTCCCAGGGCAGCCAGAGGGAAGCTCTGGGTTCCCACACCTGGCCAGCACAGGGCCGGGAGCAGGACACACCCCAAGAGCCTCCAGCCCCCTGTCCCTCACCTGGCAGCCCTGTCCCTGGTGTCCCCAGGCCGGCTGACCAGCTTCACGCTGCACCTGCACGGCACGGACGAGGACATGCCAGCCAGGCGCTCCGCAGCCACCGCCACCAACGAGTGCCTCAGGAGGGACGAGCAGGGAGCCTGCCAGGGTGAGCCAGGCTTTGTGGGGACACAGTGACAATGCCCCGCTCCCCAGGCCTCACCCCAGCCTCTCTCCACAGACTGTGGCCGCTCCCTGTACACCCACCACGGCTCCTGCCTGTCCTACTGCCCCCCACGCCACTACGGAGCCACCCGTGGGGACACCACCCGTGTCTGTGCCAGCTGCCACCCCTCCTGCTACACCTGCCAGGGCGCTTTGGCCAACAACTGCACGTCCTGTCCCTCGGGTCACACCTTCCAGGACGTCACCCACAGCTGCCAGGACCCCTCAGGGGGCTCCCCCAGCCCGGGGGGGCTGCCCAGGGCGCTGCTGCTCCTCGCTGGCCTGGCCTGTGGCAGCCTGGTGCTGGCAGCACTGCTGTACCCCGCCTGTCGCCCGCTCCTCCGTGCCAGGAGGGCACAGTGACACCGGCCTGGGCTGCAGGGACAGCCCCGGGCAGAGCAGGGATCCCAAATAAATCGGTTTGTTGCTTTTCCAGCCGTCCTCTCCTCCCTCCCCACAGTGATTTCCCTTCCCAGCAGCGATTGGGACGGTCCCACCCGTGTCCAGCTGTGTGAGGGGACAGGACAGAGACATCCCCGGGGGGCCGGGAGCCCTGTGCCCTTTCCCAGGCGCAGAGGGACGAGATGTGACGTGTGTGTGACGTGTCCCCAAACAGCTGCGCCCACATGGCCACAGCAGGAGCCCGGCCACGAGCCCAAGTGGCTTCTGCCAGGGTGGAGGCAGCCAAGGCCAGCCCAGAACCCCTCCAGAGTCCCCAACTCCTGCTCACCAGCAGCTTCAGGCCTTAAAAAAGGGGTGCTGAGGTGGCTGCACCCCTGTCACTCTGTCCCACGGGGACTGGCACAGTGGCAGCTGTGCCCCAGCATGCAGCAGCCACAGCGCTGGGCACGGGTGGCACAGGGAGAGCTGCCAGCCACCGGCCCCGTGCCAGGACCCTGGACTGCCCCAGGACACCGGGGGGAGGTTTGTGTCCCCCCTTCCCCCACTGTGCCGTCCCCAGCGCAGCGTGTTTGCTCAGCTGAAGAGTTTTGGGAATTGAGGCAGAGCCAGACCTTTCTCCAAGCTTATAATGACCGTGAAAACCTTGGCTGGACCTCACAGAGTAGGGGAGGAGGGAGCCAGGATGGAGCTTTGTCTCCAAAGGCCCCGGCTGTCCTTGGGGGCACCCCCAGCCCCCAGGGATGAAAAACACCAAGGGAGATCCTGGCACAACCGTCCGGCCCTGGCTGCCCCCCAGCACAGCTTCTCCCAGAGCTGTTCCCACCCTGCTCCTCCAGGCAGGCCTAATCCTCAGTGGGCAGCTGGCAGGGCTGGAATTGCCGCTGGATCTCGGGGCGCACGTCCTCCTGCACGGGGAGAAACGGGGTAGGGGTGGGCTGTGCCAGAGGGCCTGTCCCTTTCCTGTCTCCTTCCCCATATCCCATCCCCATGTCCCCTTCCCTACGTCCCTTCCCACCCCCATGTCCCTTTCCATCCCCACATCCCTTTCCCATCCCCTTCCCCACGTCCCCATCCCCACATCCCTTCCCTGTCCCCACATCCCCATGTCCCTTTCCTGTCCCCACATCCCCACATCCCTTTTTTGTCCCCTTCCCCATGTCCCTTTCCCATCCCCACATCCCTTTCCCCATGTCCCCATCCCCACATCCCAATCCCCATGTCCCTATCCCCACGTCTCCATCCCCACATCCCTTTCCTGTCCCCTTCCCCACATCCCATCCCCATGTCCCTTTCCTGTCCCCATCCCCCCCGTCCCTGTCCCCGTCCTACCGCCTGGCCCAGCTGGCCCAGCAGCGGGATGAGGCGCAGCAGCTCCTCATCCTGAGGGTCCCCAGACCAGGGTGGCACTGGGATCCAGTTGGCAGCCTGGGGGGGGACAGGGAGAAGGTGGGATCACACACAGGGGTCCCACACGGGGACTGGGACACGCAAACCCCCCGGAGCAGCGCTGCCCTACCTGGGCAGGGAAGCCCTGCATGGTGTGGTCCAGGGCCACCACCCTGGCCAGGTCCCTGCCCAGGCAGGTCAGGTCCTTCCAGTAGCAGCCCTGGGAGCAGACACAATCCGACTGGGAGAGGCAGTGCCTGGCAGGAGACAGCGCCGTGGGGACCCTGCCCTGGCACACAGGGGGTCCCCAGCGGGGCACCACCAGCACCATCACCTGATCAGCTTCTTCCTGGGGTCCAGCACCTCCAGGAGCTTCTTGGCGTAGTCCTTCTTCGCAGTGGTGTAGATGATGATCTGGCAGAGAGAGGGTGAAGGTCCCTGCGTGGGCTGCTCGAGTCCCCCCACCCCCCAGGGGTCACCCCACAGAGCCGGGGGGCTCTGGGTACCTCGTAGGTCTTGGAAAGGCTCTCCAAGAACTCCTGCACATGTGGACGCAGCTTCACGTGGACCTGGGAGGGAACAGCATCTTGGGAAACCTCCAGCACCCCCATTGAGACAGCAAGGGGAGCCCCAAGGGGGATCAGTGCCCTCACAGCAGGATCCCTCACCCCTTAACAATGGGATTTCGGAGCCCCTTCCCCTTCAGCCACAAGGGACATTGGCACAGGGGCCACATGGGTAGAAAAGAGGGTCCAGGGGTTATCCTGATCAGAGTCACAGGGTCCCGGAGAATAGGGCACAGAGTGCCCCTGAGCTCACTGTAACAATCCACAGCCCCAAATCACAGCTCCCCCAACCCCCCCAGACTCAACAGCCGCTGTCCCAACCCCGGGGCACCCACCTTGTAGGAACTCGCCTGGAAGTCGGTGGTGAAGGTGGCTGTGGCATCCTTCTGCCCGTGGGCGAGGAGGGAGGAGTAGAGCAGGATCCCATCCTGGGGACAGGGAACAGGCTCAGCCCCCAGCCCCAGGTGCTGCAGAGCCCCCCCGGACCCCCCCAGCTCACCAGCTCCAGGACCAGGGTGTGCTGCAGCCTCCTCCGCACCCTGCGGGGCCCGTCCCTCGCTGGGGTCAGCGCCCCGGGGCTCGGCCTGGGGGGGGAAACAGAGGGTCAGCGGGGCTGGGGGGGCTGTTAGACCCCCCCACACACATATTGGGGGGCTATGGGGACCCCCACACACACACTCACAGGCTGGGGGCCGCAGGGACAGCAGCGTCCTGATGCTCAACCTCGGGGAGCCCAAAGAAATAGGAGCCCCCGGGGCAGGGCGGTGCTGGGGGTCCCGCAGGGTCTGTGGGGCAGAGGGGTCCTGTCAGCACAGCCCCCCCTGCCCCACGCAGGGATTTCCCCGGGCAGGGACGCGCTCACCGCTTCCCCCGGGACCGGGACTCTCGTCGGGTCCCCGCCGGACCAGCCGCCCCCTCCCGGGGGTGCCGGGGGAGGGGGGGACCCGCGCCCACCCCCGCGGGACGCGCTCCCCCTGCTCCCCCTCTCTCTGCCGGCTCCTGGCCCGACCCCGAACCGCAGCCCTGGGGCTCGGCAGCCCCTGCTCCTCCCTGGGGGGTTTCTTCGTGCGTGGGGTGGTCCCCAAACCCGCCATGGTGGGACCCTGCCAGGGACAAATCCCCCCCCCCGCAGCAGCCCCAAATTAAGCGTGGGGTGAGGGGGGGGGGTGGGAGGGAGCTTTTTTATAGGGTGGGGGCACCTTTGCAGCCCGAACCGCTCCGGAGCACCTGGAATCACTCAGACTTTACCGGGACCAGCTGGGGCTCCGTTCTGCCGCCCCCCAGCCGGTCCCGGGGCTCATTTCTGTCACCCGATGTGACAAGGACCTTCCTGGGCTGGCAGCTGCCACTCGGGACACCCCAGAGCCCAAATTTGGGGCTGCACCAGCTGGCAGGGCTCAGCTTTTCCTGCCACCAGCTCCAAGCCCACCCCGAGGGAGCCCCGAGCGGGAGAAGCCCCCGGGGTGCCCCCAGCGCCCCCAGTCCCATCCTGTCCCCACAGGGGCCCCGCGGTGGCCGCCACCGGCCCGAGGGTTGGGTTACGGGCGGGGGGGCTCTGGCACGGGTGGGGGACACGCTCGGCTCCGCCGGAAGGGAGATAAGCGGGAGGTCCCCGACCCCGGCAGGCAGAGCCTGGCACGGGGCCATGGGGACAGGGACACGCTGCGCCGGGTGGGAGCTGCTCCTGGGGCTCAGCGCGGGGACACGGAGGCGACCCCCTGCTCGTGGGGACACGGAGGGGACCCCCTGCTCGTGGGGACACAGAGGGGACCCCCTGAAATATAGGGACACGGAGGTGACCCCCTGCTCGTGGGGACACAGAGGGGACCCTCTGAAATGTGGGGACACGGAGGGGACCCCCTGAAATGTAGGGACACAGAGGGGACCCCCTGAAATGTAGGGACACGGAGGCGACCCCCTGCTCGTGGGGACACGGAGGGGACCCCCTGAAATGTAGGGACAGGGACACGGAGGCGACCCCCTGCTCGTGGGGACACAGAGGGGACCCCCTGAAATGTAGGGACACGGAGGAGCCCCCCTGCTCGTGGGGACACGGAGGGGACCCCCTGCTCATGGGGACACAGAGGGGACCCCCTGAAATGTAGGGACACGGAGGGGACACCCTGAAATGTGGGGACACGGAGGGGACACCCTGCTCGTGGGGACACGGAGGGGACACCCTGCTCATGGGGACACAGAGGGGACCCCCTAAAATATAGGGACAGGGAGGGGACCCCCTGAAATGTAGGGACACAGAGGCGACCCCCTGCTCGTGGGGACACGGAGGGGACCCTCTGCTCGGCACACAGAGGCGACCCCCTGCTCGTGGGGACACAGAGGGGACCCTCTGAAATGCAGGGACAGGGACATGGAGGTGACCCCCTGCTCGTGAGGACACGGAGGGGACCCCCTGAAATGTAGGGACAGGGACACGGAGGCGACCTCCTGCTCGTGGGGACACGGAGGGGACCCCCCGAAATGTAGGGACACGGAGGCGACCCCCTGCTCGTGGGGACACAGAGGGGACCTCCTGAAGTGTGGGGACACAGAGGGGACCCTCTGAAATGTAGGGACACGGAGGTGACCTCCTGCTCGTGGGGACACAGAGGGGACCCCCCGAAATGGGAGGACCCCCTGGGCCATCGCCAGGCCAGGCAGGAAGGGACACGCAGCCAGTGAGGGGATAAACAATTTATTTTCTGCAAAAATAATAATAAATTACCATCCCCCCCCTCCCTCCACCCCAAGGACGGCGAGATGGGCGGGGGCTCCACTGCGGGGAGGGGGCACGGGAAGGGTTCGGTGCCCGGCGGGAGCAGCCGGTTCGCGCGTGGGGTCCCGTCCCGGGGCGGGCTCAGGGGGGCCGGGGGCAGTGCGGGGCCGCCTCCCGCACCAAACGGGCCTCGCGGGGCGTCCAGGGCCGGGCGTAGCCGCGCTCCTGCAGCAGGATGCGGTTCAGGGTGTGCTCGTGGTTAACGTGGCGCCGCGCCATCAGCAGGTACTCGCCGCCCTCGCTCAGCGTGGGGCACCCACAGGTGCTGGGCACCCACAGGTACTCCCGGGCCACCAGCGGGAAGCGCTGCCGGTACCGAGTCTTCACCTCCACCTCGTAGCGCGTCTCCCGCCCCACCACGCGCCGTGCCAGGATCCGCCCGTGGAACACTGCGTGGGGGAGGATGGGGCATCCCTGAGCCCCTTCCCACCCGGGGCATCACCTCTGGTGTCACCCCAAAGTCTCTTCCCATCCCCGGCATGGCGCTGAGCCCCTTCACATCCCTCTCATCATCCCTGGCATCATTCTGAGCCCCCTTCCATCCCCGGCATCACCTCTGGCATCGCCCTGAGCTCCTTCCCGCTCCTGGCACTGTCCCTGGCACTGTCCCTGGCAATGTCCCCAGCCCTGTCCCGCCCCCGACACCGTCCCCAGCCCCTCCCGGGCTCACCGAAGTCGCTCTGGCAGAAGTGCCGGATGCGCTGGGAGCGCCCCTTGGGCGGGCGGCACCTCCCGCAGCGCCCTGCGGGGATAAAGCTGCAGCAATTGAGGGGGCAGAGGGGACCCCTGACCCCCCAAACCCCCCTCATGCAACTTTGGGAGGGGAGGCTGAGGGTCCACACCCCAGAGAGGGGCTCCTGAGAGCCCTGGGCAGAGCTTTTAGGGTCCTTTTTAGGGTCCCCATCGCCCAGCAGGGGTGCGGGGGGCTGCGGGGACCCCCGAGGCTGTACCTGCGGTAGCCCCGTCCTGGCTCGGGCCAGGGGGGCTCCTCGGCGGTGGCTCCGTGGCAGAGCCCCCGGGCCGTGGGGAGGGCTCCGGGGGCGGGGGGCTGCCGGCCCCTCGGGGCTGGGGCTGCCGCAGGGCGCTGCTGTCACCGCGGCCGAGCTGGGGGTGCCCGCGGGGCAGCCAGAACTGGTACTCGATGCCGGGGTTGGGCTCCTGCAGCAGCACCTGGAGGGGTGGGGCGGGGGGACACGAGCCGGGCTGGGAGGGGCGGTGGCAGCGGGGGTGGCGGTCCCCGATGCGCGTCCCCCTGCCCGCACCATCACTTGCAGGTCCTCGCGGGTGGGTCCGGCCGCCTCCAGGCTCTCGGTGCCATCGGGGGTCCGGCTGTAGGTCAGGAGGGTTCCGGCGGCCTCGTAGGGCCCCGGCCAGGCGATGGTCCGGTCCCCGTTCAGGACGTAGCGCCCGTCGCTCGCCACCAGCGCTGCGGGAGGGAGCGGCTCCGGCAAACCGAGCCCCGCACGGCCCCGCACCCCCGGCCGGCTCCCCACCGGAGGCCTCTCCCGGCGCGGAGGGCAGCGTGGGCCGGGGAGCCGCGCTCGGGGCTCCGGGAATGCGGGAATCCGCGTTCCTGTTGGATCTTGGCTGCGGGCCCGAGGCACAGCCAAAGCCTGGTGTGCAAAGGCAGCCCCGAGCCCCCCGAGCCCGCTGGGATGGGGGAAGAGGCTCCAGCTGCACGGGAAAGGGGACAGGGGTGGGGATGGAGGTCCCTGTCCTGGCCCCGCTCCAGCTCAGCCCTTCCCAAAAGCGCGGCCGCGGCCTCTGGAAAATCGCCCCGAGCGCTTTGCGAGTTCACTGACCCCGCGATGCTCAAAACAGCATCCGAGGGAGGGAGCGGCACGACATGGGACAAACATGGGAGAGCGCGGCGTGACACGGCGTGACACGGCCACCCCTGCCCTGCCCTGCCCGCACACACAGCTGGCACCAGCCTGGGTCAACTGGGAGCGACTGGGAGGGACTGGGAGCGACTGGGATGGAGGCAGGTCACGTCCTACCCAGATAGTTGCGGCTCCTGTCCGTCACCTTGATGTGGGTGGCCCCGGCCGGGATCTTGGTCACATTCACATATCCCAAATATCCTGTGGGGGGGAAGGGTCAGAGCAGAGCCTGGGCAGGGCCCGGGGGCACCGCGGGGGGACAGAGAGGAGGGGACAGGGCACAGAGGGGACCCGGGCCTGGGGCACTGACCCAGCTGGGCCCATCAGGGACTCGGGGTGCCCCCAGTACCCCGGACACCCCTGGGGACATCACAGACCCCCCACACCCCAGGAGTGACCCCTCTGCAAGGAGTTAACCCCCCCCAAGTCAAGGGGCTGCTCCGAGTCCCCGTCCCAGGGAGGGACAGAGACCCTCAGGATGGGGGAGGTGCAGAGGGGATGGGACATGGGATGGGACATGGGACGGGGCACCCAGGCGATGCCCTGGGGACACGGATGGGGACAGGAGGACAGGGGAGCCAAGAGCCAAAGCATTCACCCATGGAGGGGGCCGGGGCAATGGTTCATTCACCGGAGGAGGGGTCCGAGCCCTGGAACAGCCGGTGCACGAGGACACACGAGCCGTGGCTGCAGTGGCCGCAGGCGTCGGGGCGTGAGCCCAGGATCCCGTCACAGCCCACGCTCTGTGGGGAGCCCAGACACCCCCTCAGCACAGCCTGCCCGGGACTGGGGGTTCTGGGGGTTCTGGGGGGGTCCCAGCCCCCCGTGCACCCACCAGGCAGCGCCCACCGACGCACAGCTCCGGGGAGCCGGGGCTGCAGCGGGTCCCGTCCAGCACCCGGCCGAAGCTGTAGTAGAAGTTGTGCCCCTCGGCCAGGCAGTTGAGGTCGCACAGGTTGGGGGCTGCCAGAGCAGGGGGGAAGGGATTGGGGTGATGCCCAGGCCGGGTGGGAGCCCCCGGGGATCGGCAGCAGCCCGGACTCACCTCCGTGGAAGGGCACCCAGCGGTAGCGGGCGGAGGAGCCCAGGACGGGCCGGTTGTCGTAGAGGGAGCACTGCATGGCCCGGAAGGGCACGGAGCCACCGGGACAGCCCTGTGGGAGCACCGGGATGGAGCCGGGACCGCCACGGGGACCGGGGACAGGCACAGTCGGTGCTGCAGCACTCACCGGGAGCTGGCAGAGCCGGTACTGCCGCGGGTCCCCCGTGCACGGCTGCTCCTCACTGCTCCTGCGGGCACAGCGGCAGTGTGTGTCCCCCCGTGTCCCCCCGTGTCCCCCACAGCCACCCCCAGCTCCAGGTGGGTGCCACCGAGCCGCCACGGGGCTGAGAGTGACACGTCCCCGCAGGGCAGCAGAGGAGGCGTGGGGATGTCCCACAGTGTCCCCCATCCCTTGGGATGGCCCTGGCACCAGGCCTGGGGCGCTGCTGCGGGTCCAGGGCCACCCGAGGGGGTGGCAAGGCTGTGCCGTGGGCTTTGGGAGCTGGGGACACCCCGGGGGGGTCTGTGCTGTCCCCCACTCACCGCAGGCACCTCCGGCTGCGCAGGGCGACGCCGTCCCCACAGGAGCTGGAGCAGGAGCTCCAGGGTCCCCAGGACCCCCAGGTCCCCTGGGGCCGAGCAGGGGCTGGGGGCTCGGGGACCCTCGCTGGTGTCCCCAGGGCTGGCTCCTGCATGAGGAAGGTGATGGGCAGCGCTGGAGGTGGGGTGAAGGAGCCCCGGGGGTGCCACCGTGTGCCCCCCCAGCTGCCCCCCAGGCCCCTCACCTGTGCCGTGCCCACCAGGCTGAGCCAGGCCAGCAGCAGCAGCCGCCAGGACCTGCGGAGCAGAGAGCCCTGAGCCCACCAGGGACAGGGACAGGGACAGGGACAGGGACAGGGACAGGGACAGGGACAGGGGGGTGGCACCGGGGTGTCCCCCAGCCCAGCATCGCCACCGAGGTGCCCCCGGGGACCCCAGCGAGGGGCACGGGGTGAGGGGGGGGCCAAACCCAGACCCAGCCGAGGGTCTCCAGGGTGGGGATGTGGGGTCTGGTGCCACCAGCGGGGACGGGCAGCTGGGGGACACTGATGCTGGGTGGTGACACAGGCTGGGTGACGTGTGTCCCCCACACGTGTGTCCCCCACGCAGCCCCGGGACGGGCGACGGCCCCGCCGCCCCCGGGGCCCCGCGGCGGGCGCCGGGCCGGGATCGCTGCCTGCCGGGGCAGGACCAGACCTGCACGCCGGGGCTCCGCGTCGCTCCCCGCACCGGATCCGGCCCCGCCGTGGGGCGAGCACCCACCCGGCTGGGGGGCAGCGGGAGGCCCCCACGCCCCACAGCGCTCGATCCTGCAGCACCCCAAAGCGCCCAGCGCGGGGGTGCGGGAGGTGCCGGGAGGGTGCGGGGGGTGCCGGGGTCCCATCCCCGTGTCGGGGAATCCCCCGGCCGAGCCGGTTCCGTCCCACCGCGCAGCTCCCACGGCGACCGGGGGGTCGCGGGTGGCCACCGGCAGCTCTGAGTCTCCGCAGCAGGACACGGAAAGGACCGGGGGGGTCGCGCTGCTGCCCCTCCAGGGGGGTTTGGGAGCGTGCGGACCCCGCCGAGGCTCGGGCGATGCCGGGTGGGTGATGCCCACCCAGACCCCGCTGGCAGCGCGGGGGGCACCGCGTGCCTCAGTTTCCCCACAGGAGCTCCGGGGATAGGGGGTGGGGGGGGTCGCGAGGGTTAAAGCAGAAATCAGGAGCTTACCCAGCACCCTGGGGTGCCCCGCGGGGGTCCGAGCCGCCCCCACGGCCCCCCCCGGCCATGCCGCCCCTCGTCCGCGGCGTCGCGGCGGTTCAGTCCCGGTTCGGCGTCCCGGCGGCGGCGGGCGGGGGGGTCCCGGGGCGAGCGGGCATCGCCTGCGCAGCTCCGGGGGGGCCGGGCGAGGCTTCCCCCCCCCACCCTCCCCGTTCGCCGCCCGTCCCTCCCCGCCGCGTTATTAATATCCAGCCCCAAAGGTGCGCCCAGCCCTCCCCGGCCGCCCGTTAACCCTTGGGGGCCCGGAGCTCCGGCGGTCGGGGGGGGGCTGGGGGCGTCCCGGGGGGGCGGGGGTGCTGCACAGCGACATCAGCGCCCCCCGGGACCCCCCTCAGCCCCAGCGGCCATGGGGAAAAGGCACCAGGAGCTCCGGGCGAGGTCGGATCCCGAGCCGGGACCCCCCGGTGCTGGGCATCCCCGAGGGCCGCGACCCCCGCGGGGGTCTCCGCTTGATGATCGGGGTTTTCTGGGGGGGCTCGGGGGGCCGGAGCGGTGGGTGTTGGGTGCGGGGGGGTACGCAGCACCCCTGGGCGCCATGGGCACCCACAGCCCGGAGCGGAAGGGGTTACAGTGCCGGGGTGCGGGTGTCCCGGGGGTGTCCCCGGTGCCGGGCAGAGCGGGCAGGATGGTCCCGGGCAGCGCAGGGGCTGAGCCCACCCCCGGCTGGTACCTCCGCGACGAGGGCAGCGGGACCCTCTACAAGCGGGGACGGCTCCTGGGAGAGGTAAATCCCCTGAGCTGCCCCCGAGCCCCCTCCCCGCTGGGCACCGGGGGTGGGGGAGGTCACACGTCCTCACCCCCCCACAGGGGGGTCTCCGAGATGTCCCGATCCAAGGGGGACCCACCCCATCCCCTCTGGGGGAGGAGAAACTGAGGCACAGGACTGACCCCCAGCCGCTCTGATCCCTGGCGGTCCTTGCCCCACGGGGAGGGGCACCTGGGTGGGCACCCCAAGCCCCGGGAGCCTCTCCTGTCCCCCCGTTCTCACGGGGTCACTCGCAGGGCACCTTCGGCCGCTGCTACCAGGTGACAGAGGTGACCAGCGGCCGGCTCTATGCGGCGAAGGTCATCCCGAGAGCCCGGCTGGCCGCGGCGGGCACCGGGGACCGGGTGAGTCCGGGGGGACACTCCCCGGGGAGAGGGGACAGCGCCCGTGGGTCCCCGCAGAGCCCACCCGTGCCCCTTCCCCTCGTGTCTGGGTGGGTTCCCGTCCCCGCGGGGTGTGTGGGAGGGGTCCCCGGTCCCCGAGGGTCCCGCCGGGGCTGCCGGGCTCCTGTCGGTGCAGGTGGAGCGGGAGTTGGAGCTGCAGCGTCGCCTGCGGCACCGGCACATCGTGCGCCTGCACGGGCACTTCACCGACCGCGGCCACCTCTGCCTGCTGCTGGAGCTCTGCAGCCGGGGGGTGAGAGCTGCACCCCGAAACCGAGCCCTGGGACCCCGAAACCGAGCCCTGGAACCCCGAAACCGAGCCCTGGAACCCTGAAACCGAGCCCTGGAACCCCAAAACCGAGCCCCGGAACCCCGAAACCGAGCCCTGGAACCCCGAAACCGAGCCCTGGAACCCCGAAACCGAGCCCTGGAACCCCAAAACCGAGCCCTGGGACCCCGAAACCGAGCCCTTGAACCCCAAAACCGAGCCCTTGAACCCCAAAACCGAGCCCTTGGACCCCGAAACCGAGCCCTGGAACCCCGAAACCGAGCCCTGGGACCCCGAAACCGAGCCCTGGGACCCCGAAATCGAGCCCTGGGACCCCGAAACCGAGCCCTTGGACCCCAAAACCGAGCCCTGGAACCCCAAAACCAAGCCCTGTAACCGTGAAACCGAGCCCTTGAACCCCAAAACCGAGCCCTGGGACCCCGAAACCGAGCCCTTGAACCCCCAAACCGAGCCCTTGAACCCCCAAACCGAGCCCTTGAACTCTGAAATTCTGCACCCCAAAACTGAGCCCCTAAACCCTGAAACTGAGCCCCTACAACCCAAAACAGAGCCTCTGAACCCTGAAATTGAGCCCCTAAACCCCAAAACTGAACCCCGAAACTGAGCACCCTCAGGCCGGGACTTCAGCAGGGCCCAACCTGGTGCCTCGCTCTGTCCCAGTCCCTGTCCCTCCATCATCCATCCCCAGTCCCGGTCCCTGTGTCCCGTGTCCCCCTTCATTGTCTCCAGTCCCTCCTGGCTGTCACAGCCGCTGTCACTCTGTCCCCAGTCCCTGTCCCCCCTTTCACTGTCCCCAGTCCCTGTCCCCCCTCATTGTCCCCAGTCCCTGCCGCTGTCTCAGCCTCTGTCCCCAGTCTCTGCTGCTGTCGCAGCCGCTGTCGCTCTGTCCCCAGTCCCTGCCCCGCTCCCTGTGTCCCGTGTCCCTTTTCACTGTCCCCAGTCCCTCCTGGCTGTCACTGTCCCCAGTCCCTCCTGGCTGTCGCTGTCCCAAATCCCCCCTGGCTGTCGCTGTCCCCAGTCCCTGGCCGGCGTGCTGCGGGCGCGGGGCCGCCTGACGGAGCCGGAGGTGCGCTTCTACCTGCGGCAGCTGCTCTCGGGGCTCCGGTACCTGCACGGCCTCGGCCTCGTGCACCGGGACCTCAAACTGAGTGCGTGCGGGGACCGGGGCTGACCCAGGCACCGGGGGGTGACCCGAGGTGGCCGAGGGTGACACCGTCCCTCCCTCCGCAGGTAACTTCTTGCTGACGGAGCGGATGCGGGTGAAGATCGCGGACCTGGGGCTGGCACGGCGGGCGGCACCCCCCGGGCGGCGCTGGGGGTGAGGGGGCCTGGGGGGCTGCACCGAGGGGGGTGGCCCTGCCCGTGTCCCCAGGGGTCACCTCTCCTGTCCCCACAACTCAGGGCGCTCTGTGGGACACCCAGTCACCTGGCCCCGGAGGTGCTGGAGCGCAGGGGACACGCGGGACCCGCGGACATCTGGGCCCTGGGCTGTGCCCTGTGAGAGAGGGAGGGGAGAGGGAGAGGGAGAGGGAGAGGGAGAGGGAGAGGGAGAGGGAGAGGGAGAGGGAGAGGGAGAGGGAGAGGGAGAGGGGAAAGGGGAGAGGGGAGAAGGGAGAGAGAGAGGGAGAGAGAAGGAGAGAGAGGGGGAGGGAGAGGGAGAGAGAGAGGGAGAGAGAAGGAGAGAGAGGGGGAGAGAGAGGGAGAGGGAGAGAGAGAGGGAGAGAGGGAGAGGGAGAGGGGGAGGGAGAGAGAGAGAGGGAGAGGGGAGAGGGAGAGGGAGGGAGAGGGGAGATGGAGGGAGGATGAGGGGAGATGGAGGGAGGATGAGGGGAGATGGAGGGAGGATGAGGGGAGATGGAGGGAGGGTGGGATAAGGGGAAATGGAGGAAGGATGAGGAGAGATGGAGGGAGGATGAGGGGTGATGGAAAAAGGATGAGGGGAGATGGAGGGAGGATGAGGGGAAATGGAGAGAGGGTGGGATAAGAGGAGATGGAGGGAGGATTCGGGGAGATGGAAGGAGGACAGCAGAGCTGGAAGGAGGATGGAGAGGAGCTGGAGGGGGGACAGGGGGGTCAGGAGGAGGACAGGCACACAGAAAGGAAGAAGAGGGGAGATGGAGGGAGGATGAGGGGAGATGGAGGGTGGCATGAGGGGTGATGGAGGGAGGATGGAGAGCCTGGAGGGAGACCAGAAGGGCCAGACGAGGGCCAGGGACACTGCAGGGAGGAGCCCAGGGACGCTCCCGACCGGCCTCCCCAGGTACACGGCGCTGACCGGCCACGCCCCGTTCGAGGCCCGCCACCGGCAGGAGCTGTACCGGCGCATCCGCAGCGCTCGGTACCCGCTGCCCCCGCAGCTCTCCCCCGGTGCCCGCGCCCTCATCGCCCTCATGCTGCACCCCGACCCCGCGGCACGGCCCAGCCCGGCGGGGTTGCTGAGCCACCCCTTCCTCACCCAGGTGCGGGGCCGGGGGACACGGGGGGCACGGGGGACACTGAGGCACACGGGGGGTCACCGCCTGTCCCTCCCCAGGGTTTCACACCCCGCACGCTGCCACCCTGCGCCTGCCACTCCGTGCCCATCTTCGTGGGACAGGAGCCCCTGTGCCGGATCCTGAGGGGGCTGTGGGGCTGTGGCTGTGTCCCCACCCCTCCCCAAAGCACCTGAGCCCGAATTTCCACGGAGGAAAACCTTTATTAGTGCTGGGAACCGTCTAAAATCCAGTCATGGAAACAAGCGGGGTGGGACGTGACCGGTACGAACGGCGCACACACACACACACACACACCAGTTTGCCCTTAAAATGCTTAATGGGAAAAAACAACCCCGAAATCCAAACCCCAAAATAAAAAGGAGCTCTCTTCCCTGCCAGCCTAGGATGGGGATGGGGATGGGGATGGGGATGGGGATGGGGATGGGGATGGGGATGGGGATGGGGAGGTGCAGCTCCATGTCCCGGTGCTGCTCCTGGGACTGGAGAGGTGCCAGGTCACTGGGGACACCGGAGAGGGGACAGAGGGAGCTGTGGGCTGGGAAGGAGGGAGGAAAGTGCGTGGTTTCCCTGTTCAGCTTCACTTCTCTCTCTCTCTGGAGAGAAGAGTCGGAGAAAACGATGAAAGCTCAGTAAAACAGGACACTAAAAACACCCAGGGGCAGCGCGGGCCTGAAACACGGAGGGAGGGACAAGGACAAGATGCTCGAGGTGGCCCCAGCAAGCACCAAGGAGCCACTCCCGGACCCCAGGGGTTGTCACCGGCCTTCCAGTGTCACCAGAGGGGCCTGGGGGAGGGAGGTGACAGCAACGACTGTGTCTGCACTGGGGGGAGCCTTGTCCCTTTGGTGACAAAGGAGAGGGAACAAGGAACTGGGGCGGTGAGCCGGGCCACTCGCACTGTCACTCGTGTCCCCAAACCACGGCAGAGCGGTGGGGATGGATCTGAGAGCCCTCAAATCAAATGAAATCCGAGAGCCTCACGCAGTGCACAGAGGCTGGAAGGGCTGGGACACAAATCCCAGCTCCCCCCAAAGCTCCTCAGCCCCTGAGGAAGCGCCCCAAGACCTTTCCCAAGCCGGGAGCAAAGGCAGCCTTTGCCCTGGGGTCAGGAGCCTTGCGCCACACCACCCTGTGCCACGCAGGCTCTGGGGACACTGGGGACAGCCCGGGGCAGGTGGCACAGCCCGGGGCTGGCTGCTGTCCCTCCTGGCAGCTCAAGGCCTGGCACGGAGCCCACGGGGTATTTTTAGCCCGGCATTTGTGTTGTTTGAAGCTGTCAGCTCGGTGTTTTCAGTCCTGAACACAACCCTGCCCTGTCCCAGCCCCCTCGGAGCTGACAGCAACAGCAACACCCTCGCCTGCCACGGCCTGAGCCCCCCAATGCCCTGGGGGGGCCCCAGGATGACCTCGAGATGGCCCTGGGACATCTGGCAGCACACAGAGGCCACGTCCCCAAATTCCCTGCTCTGGAACACCCCGAATTCCCTGCTCTGGAACACCCCAAATTCCCTGCTCTGGAACACCCCAAATTCCCTGCTCTGGAACACCCCAAATTCCCTGCTCTGGGACACCTGCACCGGCCACCTGTCCCCCTGCCAGGCAGGAAGGTCCCTGAGGGGCTCAGGGCAGGATGTTCCAGTCAATTCCCTGTGGGTTTTGAGCTCTGGGATCTCCCCATCTTCACTGCACAGCCAAGAGCTGCCCAAAGATGAGGAGAGCAGGACTGTCCCTGCCCTGGTGACAGTTGTGTCTGTCCCGGGGACACAAACCAAGCCAAGGTGGCAACAACAACAACAACAACAATGAGGTTTCTTAAAAGAGAAGGGATTTAAAAACAAAAGATTCAAGTTTGGGAACTCCTCTCCCCCTCCTGCCAGGCTCCAAAATGAGGCCAAAAACTCACCCTTGTGCAGAAATCAGGTTCAAAGTTCAGCCAATTGGTGCGGGTGACCCAGAGCCCCATAGGGGTGACCAGGGCAGGTCACCTCTGTGTCACCACAGAGCCCCGGCTCCCAAAGGCCAGGAGGGGCTGGGAGCAGGAGCCTGGAGGGGCAGCGCCAGGCAGGGGTGGCACGGGGCTGTTTGGTGACAGGAGCCAGGCCAGGGCAGGAGCTTCCCCTTCCAGGGCCCAGCAGAGCCTCAGGCCGAAGGCACCGAGCTGCTCTCCACCGTCAGTCCCTTGCTGGCCAGGAAGGCGTCCTGCTTGGGCTCCCGGCCCAGGAACCTCCTCAGCATGTCAGCCGCGTCCATGGAGCCGCCGGGGTGCAGGATGCACTTCCTGTAATCCATGCCCACCTGCGGGCACACACGGCGCTGGGACACCCGGCCCGGCTCCCACACCCCGGGCACGCAGGCAGAAACTCTCCCTACCTTGCAGTTCATGATTCCCTCCTGCTTGAAGCGGGTGTGGAACATGTCCATGGAGTACACCTCGCTCCACAGGTAGCCGTAGTACTGGGCGTCGTAGCCCCCGGCCAGGTGGCCGAAGGTGGCCGGCATGTTTGTACCTGAGGGGACACAAGGGTTTAAAAGCCAGGGAATCTCAGAACAACGGGAAACTGGACAAGACAAACGCAGATCTGAACCAATGTGGTTAATCAAACGTTCTCCCTTTATGCCAGATAAGATGGTAGTTTATATAAGTTTCTATATAGTTTACAAAAACAAAGACACTCTGATTGGCAAACTAACATTGTTTACCTTTTCCTTAAAGTGGCCTAAACCTCACACTATAAACCTATACTAATTGACACCCAGACAGCCCAGTGCTCCCCATCACACATTGATACTATTTCTATCTGCGCCACAAGCTCTGAATTTCTAACTGCGTCAGAGGCTTGAAGGCCTCACCAGGCCCAAATCTGAGGCCTAGACTGGAGTAGCTCAAATCTCATAACTCACGTCCTCTTTCCCTCACAAATGCTGCAACAAGGGGTCATTTCCCCCATGGAAAATCCCCCTCTCCAGTGCTGTGTTCACAGCCCAGGGCACAAAGGGAGGAACTTTCCAGGCTTTTCCAGCCCCGCTTTTCCTGGAGCCAGCAGAAACCATCCCCACGCGAGAGGAACCTGCTGAGCCCTGCGGGAGGGACAGGAGGGTGGCACCCCGTACCTGGGGTGGCAGGGACACCCAGCACCTCTTCACAGAGCTGGGCAAACACCTCCACGGGGTCAGCCTTGGTCTGGGTGTGCAGCGCCTGGTCCACCTTGGCCAGGACGATCTGGCGCAGGTTGAAGAGCCCTGTTCCAAAAAAGGATGAGGAGAAGGGAAACTGAGGCCGGAATGCTGCCTGCAGGAGTGTCACTGAGGCTGGTGGCAGCAGGGCAGGCTGGGTGGCACCTCTTTGTCCCTTTCGTGTGCCACGTCACCCTCTCTCTTCCCATCTGTGGGTTCCTTCCCCCCATCCCCTCAGAACCCCCAGCACCACGGCGAGCAAGGAAAAGCCTTTCTGTCCCCAGCCACGTCACTGAGTGTCCCCTTGCTGTCCCCACACCCAGGGCACGTCCATCCCCTCCCACCTGTGTTTGCCTGCCGGGATTTAATGAGCTTCTCCAGCAGCTCATCCGGGATGGGGCTCCCGGTCTTGTAGTGCCTGGACATGCGCAGCAGCGGCTCCTTCTCCCACACCCAATTCTCCAACATCTGGGACGGGGCCTCCACGAAGTCCCGCTCCACGTGTGTCCCGCTGAACATGGCAAACTCCGCCTGGGGGACACGGCCGGCTCGGAATTCCAGGGGAAAAGGGGCTGGGGTCAAAACCCCAACCTGTGCCAACACAGGGAGGCCTCACCTGAGAGCACAGCTGGTGCATGACGTGCCCAAACTCATGGAAATAAGTCTCCACCTCGTCGTGCTGCAGCAGGGAAGGGGCATCTGGTGTGGGCTTGGTGAAGTTGGCCACCATGGCGGCCACCGAGATTTGCCGGCTGGAGTCCGGCAGGAGGCAGCCGGGCTGGAGGCCGAAGCAGGCGGCGTGTCCGTACTTCCCTTCCCTGGGGAGGGACAAGAGGCTCAGGGATCCTTCCAAAAACCACACACAGCCACGGCCTCCCCCTCCTCATGCTGTGGTCCTCTGAGGAGCTCACAGTGACCCCACTGGTGACACCTCGGTGACACCTCGGTGACATCCCTGCCCCAGCACGTGGCACTCCCTCCGCCCCACACAGCTGGGAGCAGGAATCTCCTCTTCCTCAGGCTCTGCTCCCCCTGCCCCAGCCCTGCTCCCGGATTTCCCCTCTCCCCAGGCCTCACCGTGGGTACAGGTCCAGGTAGAACTTCCCGATGGTGTCCCCGGAGGACGCGTCCTTCACCGTGTAGAGCTGCACGTCCTCGTGCCACACCTGAGCCTTCTCCTCCAGGTGGAAGGTGAGGCCCAGCAGCTCCTGGTAGATGGCCAGGAGGCCCGTGGTGACCACCTGCATGGGGAAATACTCCTTGAGCAGGTTCTGGTCCACGCTGTACTTGGTCTCCTCCACCTGGTTCATGTAGTAGCGCATGTCCCAGGCGTTGATGCGGTTGTCGAAGTCCAGCCCGCGCTTCTCGCACTCCTTCTTCTTCAGGTCCAGGATCACGGCCCGCTCCTTCTCCCCCAGGGGCTTCAGCTTCTGGGCCAGCTCATCTGGGGAAGCCAGGCAGGGCTGGGATCAGGGATCGGAGCAGCACACCCGGCCCAGGACATCCCTGCTCGGCCCCAGCACGTACCCAGGAACGTGGCCACCGTCCGGCTGCTCTTGGCCATGTTCATCTCCAGCACAAAGTCGGCGTGGGTGCTGAAGCCCAGCAGATTGGCCTTCTGAGCCCTCAGGTCCACCAGCTCCTTCAGGATCAGGCAGTTCTCCTGCAAGGCAGAGAGGGAAGCACACGGGGGAGAAGGGAAGCAGTGTGGGAAGAATCACAGCTCCCAGGGGAGATCCCCTGGTGGGTCCCACCGACCTCTTTGCACCTGGAGTTGAACATCTCCTCCACCTTCCTCCTGGTCTCGGGCACGTAGCACTTCTTCAGCAGGGGGAAGTAGTGTGGGTACTTCAGGGTGACCTTCAGCTTCCCATCCTCTGTCTTCTCCAGGGAGTTCAGGAAGTCCTCAGGGAGCCCCCCTGGGAAAAGAGCAAGGCAGGGGCTGAGGGTGAACCCAGGATTCTGCAGGAATGCTCTGGGATCATCCAGTGCAGGCACTGGGGGCCCTGCCAGCAGAGCACTCCATACCCAATTCCTCCCTGGAGAAGGGCAGGAAGGTGGTGTCCTCGTTGAGGTTCTTGTTGAAGTCGATGCACAGCACGCTCAGCTTTTTCTTGATAGCTTTGATTTTCTTCAAAATGCAGAAAAATCGGAGAGAAGTCAGAGCTGGGGGTGGGGGGGCACTCAGGCTGTCCCCACCCTGCTGAGCTGCCCAGCACGGAGCCTGGACTTGGCTCTGCCCCAGCCCAAAGGGGCACAGCTAATGATGGTGAGGCAGCAGCCTGGAAAGGCTCTCCAGGCTCACACCTGGCAGGGATCAGCCGCCTCAGCAAGGTCCTGCCTGTCCCCTGCTGCTTCAGGAGCTGCAGGTGCTGCAGTAATGACCTCCTCTCTCCTCATTTCCCATTTTCTTCTGCTTTTAACCCAGTTTTGAGCTCCTCTGCTGGTGCATGGTAAGAAATGGAGGTCCCTGAGCAGCTCAGCCTCCTCACCTCAACTCCAGCCCTTGGACAGGGGGATTTGGTGCAAATTCCCCTATTTCCCCTTCCCAGGAACTCCTCAACCCCCACTTTGTGAACATCACCCTTTCAACGGAAAGGAAAAAGGGAGGGCTGGAGGCATCACCCAAAAACACCGGAATTGGGGGCAAAACCCAAACCTGAGCTCAGACCCTGCCCTGAGCCCCGCCAGGACGAGGAGGGAATGAATTCAGACTGACAGGAAGAAGGATTAGATGGGATATTAGGAAAAAATTCCTTCCTGTGAGGGTGGGGAGACCCTGGCACGGATTTCCCCGAGGAGCTGTGGCTGCCCCTTCCCTGGAAGTATCCAAGGCGAGCTTGGAGCAACCTGGGATGGTGCAAGATGGGCTTTAAGGTCCCTTCATCCCAAACCATCTTGGAACTCTGTGCTCTCACCTCCTGTGTCTCCTCAGGGAGGTGGAGCCCGTTCCTTTTTCCCAGCTTGATCAGCCTCTCCAGGTACCTCTTTGCCTCGGGCTTCAGGGAAGCACTCTCTGCTTTCTCCTGCAAAACAAAACAACTCCTCCTCCTCAGGGAGCTGCAGGAGCAGGTGCTGCAGGAAGCTGCTTCCCAGTGGGAGTTCTGGGAACATCAGCAGATGGAAAAGCTCCAGGGAAGGCTCTGGTTTGGTGCAGAGGTTCCTGTGTCACCTCAGGGCATGGGTTCCTCCCAGTCTGTGGGAATCCAGAGCTTCCCTCTGGCTGCCCTGGGACCCTGGCAGGGGTCAGGAACCCCCCTGGACAGAGCCCCCAGAGACACTGGCTGTGATCTCTGTCCATGGAAAAGAGTTTTCAATCTTACAGGATGAATTACCAGCTCTGAGTGTTTGATATCAGTAATAATTAAGTGTGGCACGGGTGCAAAAGTAAAATTTTAGGATTCTAGATTAGGGGTTCAAAGGGGACAAGATGGAGGAAATTGGGTGTGCCTTGTCCTTTTTCTCCTTCTTCATGCCCTCCATGTTTCACTGTGGTGTTGGCATTTTTCTGTTGGTTCAGGCTGGGGACACACTGTCCAATGTAGGTGACAGATATTGGCACGTTATTGTAAATCCAGCACAGGTAGTTTGTGGTATTTAATGTTTGTACCATCCCACTGAGGGCAGAGCCCCACACGCTGCCCTGCAGGACAGAGCTGCGGCAGGGCAGCAGAACATGTTAGAGATAAACAGAATCAACAACCTTGAAACCAGCACAGACCAATTATGGCTTCTGCTTTGGCAGCGGGGCAGAAAGACAGAGACTTTTACAATCTCGGGATCATTTAAATATCACAGATTCTGACACCAGACTGCTTTAAACACGTCACCTTTGTGCCACATCAGCATTTTGGGGGGGGATCACCACTGAGGTGGGTTGGATTTACCAAAAGCCCCTCGGCAAAGGGGAGATCAAAGCTCTGAGGGGAGGCAGAGCCCTCAATCCCAAATTTCCCACCCCTCACTAGAGCTGGACCGCTCTGCCGTGCCCACGCCGTGCTGCCGCCCCACTCCTGCATGTTCCCTTCTCAGCTCTGGGATGAGGGAAAAGGATCTGCTGGAATTCCAGGGGGTTCCAGGTGGCAAGGGACGCACCTGGAGCCACACAATCCTCTGGTACACGTCCTGCCTCATGCTCATCTCCACGTCGAACTCCGAGAGCTTCTTGTCGGCCTCGGTGCTGGCGGCGCGGGTGGCCTTGCAGGGGGACACGTGCTGGGGGAAGTCCAGCATGTTCCTACGGACTGGCGGGAGAAAAGGGGACAGGGATGATGGCTCCATGTCCCAGCACACGCCCAGAGCCAGGCTGGCAGCCCCAGAGCCTTTCCCAGCGCCCACACACTGCAGGGCAGAGAGGTGGGATGTGGCTCCTGCTCCCTTTGGTCCCTTCCCTGCTGCCCAGCACATCCACCCTGCTGGATTCCCACCACAATCCTCCCAAAATCCATGGGAATTCTGTGCCTGTGAGTCTCCAGCAGCTCTGCCCCAGCTGTGGCAGCACAGGAGGTTTGGGGAGCCCTGTGCAGGGCCAGGAGTTGGACTCGATGCTCTTTTCCAGCTGGAGGAATTCCATGATTCCTGATGGCAGCAGCATTCCCTGCCTCCTTTAAAGCTCAAAGTGGGACAATCCCTTCCCACAGACACTTCCCAAAAAACCACCATGCCCCAGGTGTGCCCTGTCCTGATGCAATTCCACACGTGGGAAGGCAAGGAGAACATTCCCTGCTGCTATCCCTGCAAAAGCTCCACCAGCAGCACTCCAGGTGCTCTCCAGGCACCTGGATTCTCCCCCCAGCAGGAGCTGAACAGGCAGCTCAGCCAGGGAAGTGCTGACAGCCGTGCTGAGGTGAACATTCCTCCTGCTGAGCAAGGGGAATTATTATTTTTTCCCTGTTATTTTAGGAAAAAAGAACTGGGAGAGGAGGAAGACGAGGCTGCTCCCTGCCCCAGACAGGTGGGGCAGCTCGAGCACAGGGAGCAGCCCAGGTGTCACGAGGAGGGGCCACCTGAATTGTCCCCCTGCTGCAAATAATCATCCAGAAAGCCACCAAACTGCACAGTTTTGGTGCCATCGCATCGTGGTACTCCCCTCCCAAAAAAATCCCAGCGGGACTGACTCTCCCAAAAAATCCCAGCAGGATTTATCCTCCCAAAAAAATCCCAGCAGGATTTATTCTCCAAAAAAATTCCAGCAGGACTGACTCTCCCAAAAAATCCCAGCAGGATTTATTCTCCCAAAAAATCCCAGCAGGATTTATTCTCCCAAAAAATCCCAGCAGGATTTATTCTCCCAAAAAATCCCAGCAGGATTGATTCTCCCAAAAAATCCCAGCAGCAAACAAGGCACATGGAGAGACATTTGTCCACTGTCCCAGGGAAAATTGAGGAAGGAGGTGAGAGTTTTTTGGATTTTTCTCTGCTCCCACTGGAGACACAGGAAAGCTGGGACAGCCTTGGGAACTTGGCTGCTCCTGCTGGCCTTGGGTTAATTTGCTTTTCCAAATCTGCTCTTTGTGCCGGCTCCTGGCTGTGTCAACATTAACTGGGAATAAAACCAACATTCTGCTGGCAGCCACAGGGAGAGAAAAGCAGGTGACAGCACAGAGCTAAAAAAAAAATTCCGAAAATCCTAATAATCGTGGAATGGGTTGGAAATTATCTCAAAGCTCAGCCCTGCTATGGGCAGGGGCATCTCCCACTATCCCAAACTGGCCTTGGACCTTTCCAGGGATGGGGCAGCCACAGCCTCTCTGGGCAAGCTCAGAGCCTCCCACCTGCCCGGGAAGAGGAAGGTGTGTCCCACTTGAGTATCCCACCTGTGTATTCCACCCTCTTCCAGCAGGAACAGCTCCCCCAGCCCAATCCCAACTATGTATCCCACCCTGTGCCAGCAGGAACAGCTCCTTCCAGCCCAATCCCACCCTGTGCCAGCAGGAACAGCTCCTTCCAGCCCAATACCACCTGTGTATCCCATCCTGTGCCAGCAGGAACAGCTCCCCCAGTCCGATACCACTAATCCCACAGATCCTACCTGTGGATCCCACCCTGTGCCAGCAGGAACAGCTCCCACAGGTCAATCCCACCCTGTGCATTCAGGAACAGCTCCCCCAGCCCAATCCCACCTTTGTATCCCACCCTGTGCCAGCAGGAACAGCTCCTTCCAGCCCAATCCCACCAATCCCACCCTCTTCCAGCAGGAACAGCTCCCTCCAGACGGATCCCACTAATCCCACAGGTCCCATCTGTGTATTCCACCCTTTGCCAGCAGGAACGGCTCTCCCAGCCCAATCTCACCTTTGTATCCCACCCTCTTCCAGCAGGAACAGCTCACCCAGGTCAATCCCACCCTCTTCCAGCAGGAACAGCTCCCCCAGTCCGATCCCACTAATCCCACAGATCCCACTTGTATATCCCACCCTGTGCATTAAGGAACAGCTCCCTCAGGTCAATCCCACCCTGTGCCAGCAGGAACAGCTCCCCCAGCCCCAGCCCGACCCCCCGGTGTACCCCACCTGTGTATTCCACCTCCACGTCCGCCAGAGCCTTCAGCGTGCTCTCGTAGGAGACCTCTCCGCGCTCCTGGGCTCCCACGCGGTCGTACACCAGCTTGGTGCTCTCGGTCAGCTCGGCGGCCATGGCCTCGATCTGCTCGGCCGTCAGGTCCCAGCGCAGCTGGCTGGCCAGGGGCCGCGGGGCCTGGCTGTCCACGACATTCCCTGCGGGACAGCGGCGGGGACAGCTCGGGGACAGCATTCCAGGGAGAGCGCGGCCCTCGGGAATTTGCGGCGGGATCATCTCGCGGCCGCTCCTCGCCCCTCCCGGTCCCGAAACCCGACTCCGTGCCCCGCCGGCTATTCGGGACGGGGCCGTGCACAGAGGTGACCCGCGGGGAGAGGAGACCCCGGCCGGCCTGGGGGGCCGCCCCCGGCCCGGTGCTGCCGCCCCATCCCTCTCCCCTCAGCCGCTCACCCCGGTGTCCCCGCGCGTCCCCATCCCGCCGGTACCTGTCGGGGGGGCCATGTCGGGCGTGCCGGGGGTGCCGGGAGGCCCCGCGCTGCTGACGAGGCCGGGAGGAAACCGGGCCGGCCCCACGCACCGAGCATGTGCCCCGACCGGAGAGGCGGGCGGGAGAGCGGGGCATGCTGGGAGCGTGGAGGACCGGGCCGCTCCCGCCGCGCCCGCACCGCACCGGGGCCGGGCAGCGGGGCAGGTTCATCCCCGCCGCGACCCTCCGAGCCGGCCGGGAGCGGCCCCGGGGCGGGCGCGGGGCGGGCGCGGAGCATCCCCGGGTCCCGCCCGCCCGTTCCCATGGCAACGCCCCCGCGCGTTGCCGTGACAACGCAGACATCTCTATGGTACCAATGGGGGCGTGGCTTCCGTGCTAGGCCACGCCCATTCCTATGCTAATTAGAGGGGCGGGGCAGCGGCGGCGCCGGCGCGCTTCGGGCGCGGCGCATGCGCAGTGCGGGAGCGCGCCCGGCCCAGGCGAGTGTCCGGTGAGCGCGGGGGGACCGGGGGGCACCGGGACCGGGACACGGGGCTGGGCTCCCGCCGGGACCCTCCGCTGCCGGGCCGTGCTGTGCTGCTCTGTACTGTGCTGCCCGCCGGCAGCCGCCGTCCTGGTCCGCCTGGGGGCAGCGGCACCGGGGGGCACCGGAGGAAACCCGGGGTACCGGGGGTACCGGGGCTGGGCCCCCGCCGGGACCCTCCGGTGCTGGGCCGTGCTGCCCGCTGGCAGCCGCCGTTCTGGTCCGCCTGGGGGCAGCGGCACCGGGGGGTACCAGGGACACCGGGCCCTGGGGGGGTAACGGGACGGGACGTACCGGGACCGGGCTGTGCCCCCCGTTGGGACTTCTGTGTCTCCGGTCGTGCCGGTGCCAGGCCCGGGAGCCACCCGCCCCAGTCCCGGTGAGGACACCGGCGGTGGCGGCGGGACCCGGTGGTTTCCCCCCGGTGTCCGGGGCTGGGCCGGTGGTCCCCGGTTGCCTCTACCGGGGCAGGGTCCGGGCGGTGCTGGCTGGGGCACCGGGGAGCGGGGCCTTCCCCTATCCGCCTGCCCCGGGACCCGGCGGGGTCCGGGGGCTCCCGGGTCGGGGAACGGGAGATCCCGGGTCGGGGAACGGGAGCCCAGCCGGGGAACGGGAGCCCAGCCGGGGCCGGGGAACGGGAGATCCCGGGCCGGGGAACGGGAGCCCAGCCGGGGCCGGGGAACGGGAGATCCCGGGCCGGGGAACGGGAGCTCAGCCGGGCCCGTGGCTGCTCCCGGGGCTCCTGGTTCCGCTCCGGTGTGTGGGACTCCCGTGAAACGGAGCTCGTTTCTCGGTTAAACGAGCCTGGCTGTGCTACAAACCCACTTAAGGTCCGGGGCTCGCTTCCCCTCGGGAGCTGTCCCGGGATCGCTGGAATTCCCAGCCTCGGGAATTTTTTGGGCTCTCTGTGCTTTGGGATTTTGGGATTTCTTTCCCTTTTCCCTGCCAGGACAGCCCTGGCTACCAGGGGCTACCAAATCCCTCCCGCTCTTGGCTCTGCTTTCAGGAGTAAGAAAATTGGGAATTTTTTCCTGGTGAGCTCCTCAGTGCTCCCAGGGTTTCATCCCTCTGGGTTCAAGCAGAGGGTTGAATCCAGTCCAGCAGAATTCCTAAGGAATATGAGGAAAGTTCTGGAGTTCTCACCTGGCTGAAAGGACAGCGCAGCTCCCTCATCCCCCAAATCCATCCTGGCCTCCTCAGCCCTCCTCAGCAAACCCCTGTTTGCCTTTCCCTGCTCCAGGCCAGCCTTGGTGCCTCTGCAGGGATTTTTTGGGACACCAGGAGGAGGAGCCCGGCCCCTCGCAGCCCTTCTCTCCCAGCATGGCAGACCAGAAGCGTCTGGCCTTCTCCATCATCCAGTTCCTGCACACCCAGCTCCAGAGCGGGAGCATGTCTCCAGACGCTCAGGAGAGTTTGGAAGGTGGGTGGATCTCCCAAAATTTGGGAGAATTTTTGCCGTTGTCTCCCCAGTTTTCAACCCCTGGCTTGGCTGGGTTGTTGCTGGAATTTCGGAGTTGATTTTTCCTTTTTGGGGATTTATCCAGGGGTGTTGGTGGCTCGTGTGGCTTCTGATCCCTTCCAAGAGCAGCTTAGCTGGAGGCAGGGAGAAGCAGAAGCCTCCCTGATCCCTGCTTGGAGACTCAGAGGGTTCATCTGGATAATGAGCATTCTGTGGGGTGGGAGGTGGGAATTCCCCAGCTCCAGGGAAGCTTTTTGTGCTCCTGGCCTTGTTTCTCCTCTTCTGCTCCCCAAAAATCCCTCAGGGTTTTTCCAGGCCCTTCCAAAGGGCAGGGATCGTAAAAGGATCTCCCTAAGGAGCTTAAGGTTTAGTCCTTGGTTTGTGGGTTCGTCCTGGTGAAGGGAGCGTGGCTGTGGGGCGCTGGGAGTGGGATTTTTTGGGATGTGAAATGTGGCAGGAGGGCTCTGGGAGGGCCCTCCTTTCCCTGGGAGCAGCTTCCCGAGCCTGAGGAGGGAGGAGGTGGCTCCCAGAGCGAGGGGAATGTCTGGGTCTCCCCCTGGAATTCTGGGCCATTCCCACATTCCCAGCTGTGGGAATGCTGCTGCAGCCCCAGCCTGATTCACTTCCAACCCCAGGAATTCCTCAGGGTGGGAGCTGGGGCTGGCTCCATCCAGGATATCCAGAGGGAAGCTTTGCCCAGCTCCGAGTTTTGGCAAAATCTGAGGATACAGCCCAAAAATCCCATCTGGCGTGGGGAAAGTGTTGGGTTTTTCCTGTTTTTTTGAGAGATGAGGGAGAGAGATGAATGTTTATTAATTAATGACCTGCCTCTCCTTATCCAGTGGCCATCCAGTGCCTGGAAACAGCCTTTGGGGTCTCCATGGAAGACCAAAGCCTGGCTGTGTCCCAGACCCTCCCCGAAATATTTGAAGCTGTGGTAGGGAAGGTGAGTGAGTGCCCTGGAACGTTCCCTTTTCCTTGAGCTCTGCTGGATTTTCCTGGAGGCTGCTGCTCTCCTCAGGAGCTCCGTGTGGGAGGGGAACGTTTTGGGCTGGAAAAATGGGAATTGTGGGAATGCTCAGCTCAGCTTCTCCCTCTCCTTGGAAGGAGCCGGAACACTCCAGAACGAACTCGGAGCCCATCACGCCCTCGGAAGATGACGTGGCTGAAGCTGAAAGACTCAAGACTGAAGGTACCAACCCCTGGAGCTGCTGGATAACGAGGGTTTGGTGCTAATTGGGAGGGAATCTCAATTCCCTGGCACATAAGGAATGCTCAGAATGGAGGGGAAAAACGGAATGTTTTCGATTTCTGCCTCTTGCTCTGTTTAGGTTGCAGAAGCGCGGGGAGATTTTCCTGCCAGGAATGTTGGAGCAGTGGGATTTTTATCCCAAAAATCCTGTGGGGTGTGGAGCAGAGCATCCATCCCTCCTGCTCTGTGCGTGGCTTTTTCCTGGGAAAAAGTGGGATGAGTGTGGATGCAGCACTTCCCCCCTGAGCCAGCAGCTGGGGTGATTTTTGGGATGCAGCATCAGGAATGCTGGAATTTCCAGCACAGCCTCGCAGCTGGACCTGCCCCACGCTGACAAACCTCTCCCCTGTGCTATTTCCATGGATCCAGGTCTTTTCTTTGTTTTATCCCAGTTCTTTTCCATCCTTTCCAACCCTCCTTTCAGGAAACGACCAAATGAAGGCAGAAAACTTCGAGGCTGCCGTGTCTTTTTATGGAAAAGCCATCGAGTTAAACCCAGCCAACGCCGTTTATTTCTGCAACAGGTACTGAGCAGCTCCCCCAGCTGCTCCCTGCTGGGATCCCAGGCTCTGGAATGCCCAAAATTCCCATTTTTCTAATGATTCTGTGGAGTTTCAGAGCAGTTCCTCGCTCGTTTGTGGGATGGTGCCCTGCTTTTGGTGCCTCCTGGGATCTTTGGGTGGGGAGTGGGTGTGGAAATTAACTTTATTCAGCACTGGAAGGATGAGGGATGCCAGGAAATGGGGTCTGCTTCCATGCAGAGTGGGATATGTTGGGAATTCGGGGTGGAATGAGGAGCTGGAGGCTCCTTGTGGGGAATTAAGGGAGCTGTGTGTGCAAAATCAGCCATGGAAGGGGGGGAGGTCTTTGTGTTCCTCGGGCAATTCTTGGATAAAACAGACTTTGAACTTTAATTTGATGGAATTCCCTGCTTGTGGTGGGAGCTCAGATCCAGCTGGCCACAGTGGGATGGGAATTTTGGGTGGGAATTTGTGCTTTTGGCTCTGTGGGAGCGTTTGGGGCTGGTGCTTGTCAGAATGGTGAGGTTGAGCATAAAAGCCAACCTTAAAAACCAAATCTTTCCTCTTTGGAATGTGGGGGAACGTCGAGAAATTTAGGGATGAGGGAAGCCAGAGGGATTTTTCTCAGCTGGAAAATGATCCTGGAATGTCACCAGGAGTGAGGAGTGAAAACCTGGAATGTCACCAGGAGTGAGAACCTGGAGCAGAGTGGAGCTGAGGCTGGGACTCAGCTCTCACCTGGGGGTGATTCCTGGGATTTTCCAGCTGCTCAGCATTCCCTGCTTCCCTTTTTCCCTGTTTTTCCAGAGCTGCTGCCTACAGCAAACTGGGGAATTATGCAGGAGCAGTGAGGGACTGCGAGCGAGCCATCGGCATCGACCCCAACTACAGCAAAGCCTACGGCAGGATGGGGTAAGCAGCACCCAAAAAAACAAAAAGTGGGAGATTCCCACTTTTCCTCAGGAATTCTGGGTCCCTGGACACCCCAGAACAGGGATTTCATAAAAATTCCTGCTGTTTCAGTTTTTAAGGTTGGGGAAAATTTCACTTTTCTCAATTTTTAGGATGTTGGTGGGACAGCAGTTGCATAAAACAAGTGACCCAAAAATTCCTCTGTGACAAAGTCAAAAATCAGAGATTTTTATTTTCTTTTCTGCTGGAATTTTGATTTCTTGAAGATTTCTTATTTCTCAATTCTGAGAAAGTTGGTGGGGACAACTGGATTTAAGAAGTGCCAGAAAAAAAAACCCTCTATGACTTTGATTTTTGGGCAAATTGGGCAAAAAAGATGACAAAAATTCCTCTATGACTTTGATTTTTCTTTTCTTTCCCAGCTTGGCCCTGTCCAGCTTAAATAAACACACAGAAGCTGTTGTTTACTACAAAAAAGCTCTGGAGTTGGATCCGGACAACGAAACGTACAAATCCAACCTCAAAATAGCTGAACAGAAAATGAAGGAGACTCCCAGTCCAGTAAGTCCTGGAATTTGGGAATTTATTAAGGTTCAGAGAGGTGCTGGAGCAGGGTTTTGCAACAGCAATTTCCGCTTTTTGTGATCAAATCTCTCCAAAATTCAGCTTTTTTTAAAAAATATTCCCTGAGCCCTTTGAACAGCGGGAATCCCTGGGGTTTTCCAGAACCCTGTCAGGGTTTAAAGGTGGGATCCTACAAAAAATGGGGAAGGATTTTTCCAACAGCCTGGAGAGACAGAATGAGGGGAATGTTAGGAAGGGTTAGGTGGGATGATGGGGAGGATTTGAGGGGCTGGGATGGAATTCCCAGAGAATTTGGATCCCTGGGAGTGTCCAAGGGGAGGTTGGAGAAGAGAAGCTCCATGGATGAGGAATGGATTTAAACTGGGAAAAGGGAGATCTGGGTGGGATTTGGGGAAGGAATTCCTGCCTGGGAAGGTGGGGAGGGAATGGGATGGAATTCCCAGAGAATTTGGATCCCTGGGAGTGTCCAAGGGAAGGTTGGAGAAGAGAAGCTCCATGGATGAGGGATGGAGGGGACAAGACACAGGGAATGGATTTAAACTGGGAAAAGGGAGATCTGGGTGGGATTTGGGGAAGGAATTGCTGCCTGGGAGGGTGAGGAGGAAATGGGATGGAATTCCCATCCTTGGAAGTGCCCAAGGCCAGGCTGGAGCAGCTGGGACAGTGGGAGGTGTCCTTGGCTGTGGCAGGGGTGGGAATGGATCCTTTCATCCCAGCCCATTCCTGCTGGGATTCCCTGGCTCTGGCAGCTCTGGGAATGAGGGATGGGAGTTGGGAATGAGCAGTGACAGCAGCTCTGGTTTCTCTCTCTTCCAGACCGGCGGCCCCGGAGGGTTCGACTTGGCCGGATTGCTGAACAACCCCGGCTTCATGAGCATGGTAATTCCAGACCCTGGGATTCCCTGGGATGGGGCCTCCCTGGGGACTCCTCAGATGGAATTCCTTGGGATGGAGCCTCACTGGGAGCTCCCCGGAGCGGGATTCTTTGGAATGGAGCCTCCCTGGAGACTCCTCACGTGGAATTCCTCAGGATGGATCCTCCCTGGGAGCTCCCCAAGATGGAATTCCCTGGGAATGGAGCCCCCCTGGTGTCTCCTCACATGGAATTTCTTGGGATGGAGCCTCCCTGGTGTCTCCTCACGTGGAATTCCTCAGGATGGAGCCTCCCTGGTGTCTCCTCACATGGAATTTCTTGGGATGGAGCCTCCCTGGTGTCTCCTCACATGGAATTCCTCGGGATGGAGCCCCTCTGGAAGCTTTTCCTGCTCCCTGGGGCTGTGTGGGAGCTGCTGTTTCTCCCTTCAGCTCACACAGGGCTGGGAATTTCTCCTCAGGCTTTTCCCAGGCTCTGGCAGGGCCTGCTCTGCTTTGGGCTTGGCCTTTGCTCTTCTTTTTGCCATTTTTCCCGTTTTCCCCCTTTTCCTGGATTCCCAAGGATTCCCAGGCTTTCCCCCCTTCCCTTTGGGGCTGATCCCACCCTGTCCCTGCTGCCTCACCCCGGTGTTGTTTTTGTTCCCCACAGGCCTCAAACCTCATGAACAACCCCCAAGTACAACAGCTGTGAGTTGGAATCCCAATTTTATTTATTCCCTCTTGGAATTCTGGGTTTGGCTTTTCCCACCGGGAGCAGGAGGGAATTTGGGCCAGGAATGTGGAGGGGGGCTCGGAACCAGCCCAGTTCCCTGAGCTGGGGGGGTTCGGGTGCTCTGGGAGGTGCTGGGAGAGGGATTGGAATAAAATTATTCCAGAGGGAGGTGGGATGGGATGGGTCACGGCCCTGGAATTGGCTCTGCTGCGGTTTTATGGGATTTCAGGATTTCCCAGCTTGGTTCAAATGGGAATATTCCCATTCCTGGATGGTTGTGCGGAGCAGTTCCCAATATTTGAAGAAAATGGATAAATTCCTAAATCCAAGGAGGGCTCAGGCCATTCCTGAGCATCCCTGCGGAGCGTGGCAGGAGGGACAGACCCTCTGGAGCCCCAAGATCCTTGGATTTTGGGATGAGAGCACTCAGCTCCCTTTGGCTTCTCCCTGCTCCTGTGCCTGGTGCCAGCAGGAATTCCAGGGAATTCTCTCCTGGATGCAGAGCAGGGAATGAGCAGGGCTGTAATTCCACGAATCTGGGAATATTGACATTATTATAATAATTGTATTTATTTATTGTTCAGCTTAATTACTTCTTTCCAGCTGACCCAGGGAAAGCTGCTGCAGGAATTCCGAGATCCCCGGGCTGGGGAGTTGCTCCTGTTCCCAGGTGATTATTTTTTGGGGATTTTTTTTCCCAGTCCTGAGTCCTTTCTTTCCCTTCCCAGGATGTCCGGGATGATCTCGGGAGGCCACAACGCCATGGGAGGGGCCGGGAGCAGCCCCTCCACCAACGACCTGGCCAGCCTGATCCAGGCGTGAGTGGGGACAGTGGGGACAGGCTGGGGACAGCGGGGACAGGGCTGGGGACAGCGGGGACAGGCTGGGGACATTGGGGACAGGGCTGGGGACAGCAGGGACAGGGCTGGGGACAGCGGGGACAGGGCTGGGGACAGTGGGGACAGGGCTGGGGACAGCAGGGAACAGGCTGGGGACAGGGCTGGGGACGCTGGGGACAGCGGGGACAGGAATGGGGACAGGGCTGGGGATGATTGGGGGACAGGATTGGGGACAGGGCTGGGGACAATCCTGGGGATGGCCTGGGAGCCAATCCCAGGGACAGTTTGGGGACAGCTTGGGCAGCCTGGGGACAATCCAGGGGAGCAATCCTGGATCCAGGGCTGGGAATGTCCCAGGGTGTTGCCTGTGTCCTGCTGTCCCCTGCTGTCCCCATGTCCCCGATGTCACCTGTGTGTCCCCACATCCCCGGTGTCCCTGATGTGCCCTGTGTGTGCCCACGTCCCCGTGTGTCCCCACATCTTCAATGTCCCCCATGTCCCCTGTGTGTCCCTGTGTCCCCTGTGTGTCCCCAATGTCCCGCTATCCCCAATGTCCCTAATGTCCCTGCTGTCTCCACGTGTCCCTGTGTGTACTCACGTCTCTGCTGTCCCCGTGCGTCCCCAATGTCCCCGTGTGTTCTCATGTCCCTGTGTGTCCCCAATGTCCCTAATGCCCCTGCTGTCCCCACTGTCCCCATGTTTCCCCATGTCCCTGTGTGTCCCCATGTCCCTGATGTCCCCAATGTCCCTGTGTGTCCCCATGTCCCTGATGTCCCCAATGTCCCTGTGTGTCCCCATGTCCCCAATGTCCCTGCTGTCCCTGTGTGTCCCCATGTGTCCCCAATGTCCCCGTGTGTCCCCACGTCCCTGCTGTCCCCATGTGTCCCGTGTCCCCAATGTCCCTGTGTGTCCCCAATGTCCCCAATGTCCCTGCTGTCCCTGTGTGTCCCCACGTCCCCGCTGTCCCCATGTGTCCCCGCTGTCCCCGTGTGTCCCCAATGTCCCTGTGTGTCCCAATGTCCCCAATGTCCCTATGTGTCCCCAATGTCCCTGATGTCCCCTGTGTGTCCCAATGTCCCTGTGTGTCCCAATGTCCCCAATGTCCCTGTGTGTCCCTGTGTGTCCCCACATCCCCGCTGTCCCCATATGTCCCCAATGTCCCTGTGTGTCCCCAATGTCCCTGTGTGTCCCCACTGTCCCTGTGTGTCCCCATGTCCCCGCATGTCCCCACGCCCCCGCTGTCCCCATGTGTCCCAATGTCCCTGTGTGTCCCCATGTCCCCAATATCCCCGCTGTCCCTGTGTGTCCCCACGTCCCCCATGTCCCTGTGTGTCCCCCATGTCCCCACGTCCCCCATGTCCCCGCTGTCCCCGTGTGTCCCCACGTCCCCCATGTCCCTTATGTCCCCAATGTCCCCGTGTGTCCCCGATGTCCCCAATGTCCCCGTGTCCCCGTGTCCCCAGGGGCCAGCAGTTTGCGCAGCAGATGCAGCAGCAGAACCCGGAGCTGATCGAGCAGCTGCGCAGCCAAATCCGCAGCCGGACCCCGAGCGCCAGCAACGAGGAGCAGCAGGAGTGAGGTGGGGCCGATCGATGGCTATTGATCCATTGATTGATTGATTGATTCAATACAGGAATTGGTAACAGCAGTGCGAGTCAGTCAGGAGTGAGGTGGGGCTGGATCGATGGCTATTGATTGATTGATTCAATACAGGAATTGATAACTCCAGTTTTAACCAATCAGAAGTGAGGTGGGGCCGGATCGATGGCTGTTGATTGATTGATTGATTCAATACAGGAATTGATCACTCCAGTTCTATCCAATCAGGAGTGAGGTGGGACAGGGATCAATGCCTATTGATTAATTGAATACACAAATTGATAAATTCATTTTTTATCAGGAATGAGGTGGGACAGGGATCAATGGCTATTGATTAATTGAATACAAGAATTGATAAATTCAGTTTTTATCAGGAGGGAGGTGGGACGGGCAGGGATCAATATTTATTTATTGATTTATTAAATAAAGGGATTGATCATTTCAGTTTTAATTTATTTTTATTTTAAAGTGTCATTAAAAATGCAAAATGCGGGAATTTGATCCAAATTTCCTTGTTTGTTCCTTGTGAAGTTATTAAATAAATGGTTGTGGTATATGAAAAATATTTAATTAATAATGAATAATTGTTATTAAAATTATTATTTATTGAGATAAGAAATAAATAATACATTTTCTTACTAAAGTTATTAACTTATTATCGTTTATTTAAAATATTAAACCATTACTTCTTACTGAAAATTAAATAATTAAATATTTAAAATAATTATTAATAACTAATCATTGTTACAGTTACTAAATAAATTGTTCTTGTTTATGAAAATATTATGTAAATAATAATTATTTCTTATAAAAGTTATTAAAGAAATAATTATTACCTATTTGAAGTATTAAATAAATAATTATTACTTATTTATTAAAAATAGAAAATCAAACTGATTTTAAAAACTTGTTATAAAAATTAGGGTAAGATGATTATACTAATTATATAAATATATGTTATATGCTTTTATATGTTATTATATAAATATTAGAATTATATTAGTAATAATGAAATGTAATAAAATTAATAAAATGAAAATGAATTGAAATAAATTCAAAATAAATTTGGCTGAAATAAAACAAACTAATAATTTTAAAAATAAGATAAAATTAAAATAAATTGAAATATAATAAAATAAATTTAAAATTAATTCGACTGAAATATAATGAAATAAAGTAAAAATAAATAAGTTAAATTAAAATAAATTAAAATTTAATTAATATAAAATTAAAATAGAAGTAAATAATACAGATTGATCGGATTAAATTCCCTTTTCCCCAGATGAATTCCCTGTTTTCCCTCTCTCTGCAGCCCCTGGGAATTCCAGAATTTGCTTTTCCAGCTGGGAGCCACCTCCGTGTTGCCAATTCCTGACTTGGAAGTGTCCAAGAGGGGGAAAATCCCAAAACTCCAACGGATAAAAACCACAAAAATCCCCAAATCTCCCCGTGCCCCGCATGTCTCCGAAAATTCCCATTTTCCCTTTTCCCACCTTTACTTTTTGGTTTGCTTTTTTTTTTTCCTGGCAGAGCAAAACTCAAAATTCCGCTGGGAAATTCCCAAATCCCCGCGGGATTTGCTGCTGGGAGATTTTTATTCCTGATTTTTTTGGTTTTTTTTTTTTTTTTTTGGTTTGGTTTGGGTTTTTTTTGTTTTTTGAGGATTTCCAAGCGAATTCTTCATTCTTTTGCTCCCCATTTTTCCCCATCGGGAGCCACTTCCAAGAAGTGTTTGAGTCTTTGGAATTCCCGGGATTTTCCACCTCTAGGAATGAGGATTTTCCTCCAAATCTGGGATTTTTGGGAATTTTGCTGCTCCCCTCTCTGGGATCCGTGGGGCAGTCAGGACTGAGCCTCCCCCAGGCGTTTTTTTGGCGTTTTCCCATCCCAAAAAAATCCTGGAAAAATCCGGCAAAACGGGAATTTCTCCCATGGAATGTGAGCAGGGAGGGAGTGAAGGTGTTTTTAGTGTGTTTAAAGGAGTTTTTTCCGAATTATTTTGATTTTTTTTCTTTTTTTAATTGCATGTCAATGGTCAACCTGGCTGGGCTGGAAAGAATCCAAAATCCCCCTTTGGATCCAAAATCCAGGATTTGGGCAGGGAGAATCTCCTGGAGCCAAATCCCAGCTGGGGGAGAGACCAGAGGGAATTTTTTTTTTTTTTTTAAATCCAGAATGGATTTAAATCCAATTTTTGGCTCCTGGGGGAGGAGGAGCCCCTCTGGAACGTTCGGGAGATGGAAAAAATCATGGAAAAAAGTGATTTTTTTTGGTCGAGGCTCCGTGGAATTCGTGTGGTTCGTGTCACTCGTGAGGAATAAAAACCATTTGGACACTTTGGTTGTTATCCCGGCGTGCTCAGGTGATTTTCCAGAACTTTCCGTGGGCTTGGGGCTCTGTTTGGGGCACATTTTATTCCATTTATTCCCATTTTTTTTTTGCCTTCCCAACGGGAATTCTCCTGGACATTCCTACAGCACAGAAATAGCAAAACTTTGCTTTTCCCCCTATTTCCCCTTCCTCAAATTGCCTTTTAATTTCTCTCCAGCTGCTTTTTTGTAGCCCCACCAAAGGAATTTCAGGCTGGAAAGGAAAATATTCTGGAATTCCCCCAAAAATACGGAAACCATGGAGTTGTTTTCCCGCTGATTTCTGCTCATTTCGTGCTGTTTCCTTTCCCTCACCCTCCTCGTTCTTTCCTGACCCGTTTTTTCTGTATTTTTTCCTCCTCTCTGGGTTGGGATTTTCCAACTTTGAATTCCAGGTGAGTTTTTCCAGGGAATTCCTCCTGCCCTGCCTGCAGCTGCTCCTCAATTCCAGAGGCTTTGGCTACTCCAGGCTGAACTGCCAGCTTCCTTTTGGACTTTCCCAAAAAATCCTGGCTCCTCTGGGAGCTGACAGCGGAAAAAAAAAAAAAAGGGAATTTTATGGAATTTTGTGGGATTTTCAGGTGGGCCTCAGCTCTCCCTGCAGCATCTCGCAGCTGCCGTTGGTGCAGTTTGCTCGCAGAGCAGCAGGAGCAGGGGGTGTAAGCGTGGCGGACGCTGTTCCAGAGCCGTTTTTCCCATTCCCGGCTCTCGCTGTTCCCGTTTTTCCTGGTTTTTTTTCCCCGGTTTTTTTTTTCCCCGTTTTTTTTTCCCGGTTTCCCGGTGATCCCGGAACCCAAAGCTGCGGGACGCGTTTCCCGCGGACCTCAATCGCCGCCTCCCCAGCGCAGGACCCGTGTGCGATTGATTGACAGCTCTGGCGGCCAATCACAATTGGGCTTTTCGCGCCTCGGCCAATGGGAGGGCGTCGTGGGCGGGCGCGCGCGGCGCGGCCGGGCCGGGAGGAGCGGGGCCGGCCGTGAGTGGGGGGGCGGTTACCGGGGTAACGGGGCCGTGAGGGGACCCCGGGGCCGTGAGGGGACCCCGGGGGTCACAGCGGGGCTGGGGGGAGCCGGGGCTGTGGGGAAGGGACGGGAGAGCGGCGCCCCGTGTGAGGGGCCGCACCCCAGCCTTGTCCTGAGGGGCTGCGGCCGCTCTGGGTGTGAGGGGTCAGGGAGCTCCGGGACCCCCTCCTCACCCTGAGGGGCTCGGGCCGGGCTCATTGCCCATCCTGAGGGGCTCCACCTGCCTGTGAGGGGCTGGAGCTGGGCCCCCTCCCCGCTCTGGGCAGACCCCGACCCCTCCTGAGGGTTCTCCCTGCTGAAATCTCCCCATTTCAGCTGCTCACCTCCCCCGCTCAGGCGGCCCTGAAACCTCTCCCCTCATCTCTGCTCCCTTTCGGAGTGCTCAGGGTGGGCTGGGAGGAGCCCCTTCCCCATCGGCCCCTTTCTAAAAGCCATGAGTCGCAAAGGGTTTGGAAGGGCCGGCTTTTAACAGAAACACTGGGATTTACAGGCTCACGGATGAGGAACCCCTTTGTTTTTCCTCCCACAGAGCCCTGCCTGCTTTATATCATATTTTTTCATCGCTTGGATGCTTCATTTTGAGCCGCTAAGCCGAGCAGGAGCTGAGCTAATCCCTCGTTGCAGCAGTTTTGGGGCTGGGGACGCAGCCCAGGTGTGCAGGAGGAGCAGGTGAGGAGTTCCCCAGATGTTCTTGGGGTTCCTTTCCCTGAGGGCTGCTCCAGCCCCATTCAGGGATGCTGGATGTGGCTACTCCACCTGAACTCGGGAGCTTGAGGCTTCGGAGGGGACTGGGTTAAAAATGGGGGGAAAAGGGAAAAAAAGTGAGGTTAAAGGGTTGCTGGGGGGAGCCAGGTGTGTTCCAGAGGTGTGAGCACTGGAAAAGGAGGATTTTATCCCTTCCCTCTGCCTTGGCACAGGTGTGGGTGGTGCCTGGGCCCAGATTTTGGGCTTGGCCAGACCTGGAGTGAGTCAGTGTCACCTGAAGGGTTCTGAGTCCCTCTTTTGTCCCCTAGAGAGGGACTTGGCCCAGGGCCAGGGCTGGCAGGACACCGGGAATGGCTCCCCACTGCCAGAGGGCTGGGGTGGGTGGGATGTTTGGGGAGGGGATAGGTGAGAGTTTGGGGAGGGGATGGGTGGGATTTTGGGAAGGGGAGAGATGGAATTTTGGGGAGGGAATAGATGGGACGTTGAGGAGGGGATAGATGGGATGTTGGGAAGGAATTCCTCCCTGGGAGGGGGGAGAGGCCCTGTCAAGAATTTCCCACTGGCTGCCACATTCCTGGAAGTGTCCCAAGGACATGGTTTGGAGTCCAGCCTGGAGCCTGGCCTCGAAGACATCTAGGGAAGGGTGGTTTGAGGTGACCACAATTCCAGGACTTTCAAATTCCTTTTGAGCCCAGTTTTAACTTTTCCCTGCTGCTTCCTGTGGAGTCCGTGTGTTCTTCCCATGCCCAGGCAGCCCCTGTCCTGCGCGTCAGGCCGATGTCCCCGCTCTGAGCCCACCCAGAGGGTCCCTGCAGGGGCAGGATGAGGGTGGTGGTGGCCAAGGTGCTGTGCCTGCTGGGGATGTGTGTGCTGGTGCTGGCTGGGGCCCTGCTGCCCGTCAGGCTGATGGAGGCTGACCACGAGAAGGCCCAGCGCTCCCGCAGGCTCCTGGCCCTCTGGAGCTCCTTCGGTGGCGGCGTCTTCCTGGCCACCTGCTTCAACGCCCTGCTGCCCGCCGTCAGAGGGAAGGTCAGTGCTGCCTTGTCCTGCCTTCGTCTGAGCCTGCAGGGTCCAAAATGGGGGCTGGAGCGAGGGCTCTGTGCCCACCTCCTGCAGATTTGTGGGGTGCAGGGGAGGCTGCGGGGTGTGAGCACCAAAGAGTAAGGCAGAGGTTCACTGTGCCCTGCCGAGGCCGCTGGCCGAGGGTGTGGCAGCATCAGGGATCGATGGATCCGGGTGGGGATGTTCCCTTCGGGGCAGTAAAGGGGTGGAGTCACTGTGGATCTGTGGGAATGTGGGGATGGTTCCCTTCAGGGGAATAAAGGGGATGGATTCATTGTGGATTTGTGGGAATGATTCCCTTTGGGGGAGTAAAGGGGTGGATTCATTGTGGATCTGTGGGAATGGTTCTCTCCAGAGGGATAAAGGGGTGGATTCAGTGTGGATCTGCGGGAATGGTTCTCTCCAGAGCGATAAAGGGGTGGATTCACTGTGGATCTGTGGGAATGGTTCTTTCCAGAGGGATAAAGGGATGGATTCACTGTGGATCTGTGGGAATGGTTCTCTCCAGAGGGATAAAGGGGTGGATTCAGTGTGGATCTGCGGGAATGGTTCTCTCCAGAGGGATAAGGGGATGGATTCAGTGTGGATCTGTGGGAATGGTTCTCTCCAGAGGGATAAAGGGGTGGATTCAGTGTGGATCTGTGGGAATGGTTCTCTCCAGAGCGATAAAGGGATGGATTCAGTGTGGATCTGTGGGAATGGTTCTCTCCAGAGGGATAAGGGGATGGATTCAGTGTGGATCTGTGGGAATGGTTCTCTCCAGAGCGATAAAGGATTCATCTTTTGCTCCCTTCCAGCTCGATGAGGTGCTCAGGCAGAACAACGTGACCACGGACTACCCGGTGGCCGAGACCATCATGATGGTCGGCTTCTTCCTGTCGGTCTTCGTGGACCAGCTCTTCCTGACCTTCCAGAAGGAGAAGCCGTCCTTCATCGACCTGGAGACCTTCAACGCGGGCTCGGACGCGGGCAGCGACTCTGACTACGAGAGCCCCTTCGTGGGGTCTCCGCGCGGGCGGGCGCTCTACGGCGAGCCCGGCCCGCACGCGCACGGCCTGCAGCTCCCCGAGCTGGCCCGCTGCGGCCCCCGGCGCCTGCTGGGGCTGGTGTTCGCCCTCTGCACCCACTCCATCTTCGAGGGGCTGGCCCTGGGCCTGCAGGAGGACGGCGGCAGAGTGCTCAGCTTGTTCCTGGGGGTGGCCGTGCACGAGACGCTGGTGGCCGTGGCCTTGGGTATCAGCATGGCCAAGGCCTCGCTGGCGCTGAGGGACGCGGCCAAGCTGGCGGTGGCCGTGTGCCTGATGATCCCGCTGGGAATCGGCGTGGGGATGGGCATCGAGAGCAGCCGCAACGCCGCGGGCAGCATCGCCTCCCTGCTGCTGCAGGGCATCGCCGGCGGCACCTTCCTCTTCGTCACCTTCTTCGAGATCCTGGCCAAGGAGCTGGAGGACAAGAGCCACCGGCTGCTCAAGGTGCTGTGCCTGGTGCTGGGTTACGCCGCGCTGGCCGGGCTGGTGCTCGTCCCGTGGTGAGCCGGGAGCCTCGGGAATGAGGGAGCAAAACCTCACCTCTCCCCTCCCACCGGCACCGGGAGGAGCCGCCCCTTTCACCGCTGGAACGGCCCAACCCGGGCGGAGTTTCCATGATGACCTGGCGGAGGAGAATCTCTTCCCGTGTGCTCAGAGTGAGGAATATCCCGAGGGATTGTCCCTGCCTGAGGGGCTGCAGGGAGTAGTGGACACAAACGTTAAGGATCTGGGTAAAATCTGCTTCCAAGAGCTCCCCGAGTGTGTGTGTCTCCCTCCTTCCCCCCCGGCCATGCTCCGGAGGCTCTGAGGAGGTGAGGAACCAACAGGAGTGGAGGCAGAGCAGGTGGGAGCAGGGATTGCCAGGCTGCACTAAGCTGCTTTCGCAGGCTTAGTTGGGAGTAAAACCTGGTTGTAACAGCTGCCAAAAATAACATCCCTGTGGGGCTTTGGCCTTCCAGGCCCTGCTGCCTCCACATGGCTTCCAGTGCCCCACCTGGGGCTCGGGCAGCTCAGCTTTTCCAGGGATTCATGGAGGAAATGAGGCCGGGCCCCTCTGCTCTGTATCCTTCTCAGCACCGTATCCATAGGCTGAGCATTCCCTAAGGAAAACCTCTGAAAATCAGAGGATGGATCCCAGGATGGTTTGGGTTGGGCAGCACCTTGAAACCCATCCAGTGCCACGGGCAGGGACACCTTCCACTGTCCCAGGCTGCTCCACGCCCTGTCCAGCCTGGCCTTGGACACTTCCAGGGATGCAGCAGATCCTCACATTATCCTGAGCCTGGGATCCATGAGCTTGCAGGAAACGGGCAGGAACAATTTCCAGCACCGATATTTTGGGGCAAACTCTTTGTGTTTTCAGTGTTCTGCAGTCAGAGGGGCTGAGCAGTTCCCATCAGGGACTGCTGTGAGGCTTTTCCAGGTTTCCAGAGGAATGGAATCCCCTCCTTTGGGGGGGGAGCGGAGCAGCTCCGTGCGCTGCCGATCCCGCTGGATTCGCCTTTGGGAGCGAGGAGCTGGGATCAGAGGCTGGAGCTGGGATCAGAGGCTGGAGCTGGGATCAGAGGCTGGAGCTGGGAACGTGCTCCCCCCCAGCCGTGAGACACAGCCTGGCTCAGGCAGGGGCTGCATTTTAATCACCCGGAGCCTTCGCTCCTGCAGCAGCTTCCGCTGGGCCCCTGGAAGCGCTGATGGAATTATAAGGATGGCGCAGTGCCGGCAGCGGGAAGGAGGCGCTGAGCCTCCGCGGTGGCCCAGCTGCAGCATATGGAGGCAGCTGAGCATCATCTGACAGATCCTGGGGCTCGTTAGTTTAATTGCTGCAACATCCCCGAGTCAATTAATCTTCCTTTGAAAACCTGGAGTGGAGGGGGGTGTGCGCAGGGAGGTTATTTTTGGGCCTGGCATGACACAAACCAGCAGGATGAGGAGAACGTGATTTGCCTCGGTGTGGAAAAGCCTCGGGGCTGTTTCACCTCTCCTGGCGGGGGGGATGAGGGGGGAGAGGTGACACGGTGCTGAGTGTCCCCTGTTGGGCTGTCACCTCCCTTTCCCACCCTCCTCCTGCTGCAGTTTGGGATGGGGCGGGGGCTGTGAAGTGCCGGGTGAGGTGCTGAGCTCCCCCCTCCTCATCCCGCCGCCCTGGGGTTCATCCACGGGATCATCCCGTGCTCCAGGGTGGTGGAGGAGGAGGAGGAGGAGGAGGCCCCGCTGCTCCCAATAAATTCCCTGCCCTTCTCCCCTCGCTGTCACTCGCTTTATTTTGATGTCCCCCATGGCTCCACTCACGCGGTGGCCACACGTGCCGGGTCCGGCGTGGGCTGAGCCACCCGTGGCCACCAAAGCTGAGCCCCCCCGAGCCCCGCTGAGCCCCGGGGAGGGGGACAGGACCCCCCGGTACCCCCCGCGCGGCAGCGCCGTGATTCAGCCCTGCGTGAGCGGCCGCCCCGTTGCGTCAGGCCTGGCGGGGAGCTGCGGCTCAATGGAACGAGGAGGAGCCGCAGGAAAATGATCAAGGAAAACTCATTCATTCCCTCTAACGAGGAGGATCCGGCCGGCTCCGAGCGCGGCGGGAGAGGGGGGGACGGGCTGAGGCTGCCACCACCCCCCGGGCCTTGTCACCATGTCACCCGTGCCCTTCCTCCCCCCACTCCCCGTTCCCGTGGGGACGCGGTGCCAGCGCGTGGGTGCCACCGCGGCCCGGTGCCCGCCGGCTGCTATTAATAGAGGCTGCGGATTTTAATTGCTGCCACTCAGGAGTGGGGCGGGGGGAGGCAGGAGCAGACCCCGGCTGGGACCGTGGGACCCCCAGAGTCACCGGTCACCTCCAGCGCCCGGTGCCGGTGGTGGGACACAGGGCTGGGGATGGTCACCCCGGGGCTCTTCTGGTCCCACTCAGGCACTGGGGAGGGGCTCAGCCAGCGCTTGAGTGTCCCCCAGCCCCACCAGGACCCCCATTGTGTCCCCTCAAGGGTCCCTCTGCAGTTTTGGGGCTCTGCCATGAGCAGGTGACACCAGTTGGTGGCACAGGCCCTGCGGGGTGTGCACAAGCTCCCGGTCCTGTGCTGGGGTGGCACCGTGGCCTCTGTGTCCCCAAAGCCCAGCAGCACTGCCCAGGCCACCCCCAACTGCTACGGGGGCACACAGCACCCTCTGCCACCTGTGCCCTGCCTGGCTGGGACGGTTGGTGCCCGTCTGTCCTGTCCGTGTGTCCCCTGTCACCACCTGTGGGGCTCTGTCCTCTTCCACGAGTCCCTGGACTGTCCCTTATCATGGGAATTCGTTTCCATACCTGTGCAGGTGTCCGTGTGTCCTCATCCCCAGGTGTCCCTGTTTGTGTGTCCCTGTCCATGTGTCCCCATCCTGTGTCTCCCTGCCTGGCTGTCCACTCTCACCCCCATGTGTCCCCATCTCTCTCTCCATGTGTCCCCATCCGTCCGTGTGTCCCTGTCCCCATCCCCGCATGTCCCTCTACGTGCGACCCTGTTTGTGTCTCTTCTCCGTGTGTCCCCATCCCATTCCTGTCTGTCTGTCTGTCCCTGTCCCTGTGTTTCCATCCCGTGTGTCCCTGTCCGCGCATCCCTGTCTGTCTGTCCCCATCCCTGTCCGTGTGTCCCCATCCCTGTCCGTCTGTCCCCATCCTTGTCTGTCTGTCCCCATCCCTGTCCGTCTGTCCCCATCCCTGTCCGTGTGTCCCTGTCCGCGCATCCCTGTCCGTGTGTCCCTGCCCGTCTGTCCCCATCCCTGTCCGTGTGTCCCTGTCCGGCATCCCTGTCCGTGTGTCCCCATCCCTGTCCGTGTGTCCCTGTCCCCATCCCTGTCCGTGTGTCCCCATCCCTGTCCGTGTGTCCCCATCCCTGTCCGTCTGTCCCCATCCCTGTCCGTGTGTCCCCATCCCTGTCCGTCTGTCCGCCTCCCGGAGCCGCTCGGGGCCGGGCCCGGGGGTCCGGGGCCCCGGGCGGGGCGGGCGCGGCGGGCGGGGCCGGCGGCGGGGCGGGATCGGCTCTGCGGCGGCCGCACCGAGCCGAGCCGAGCCGAGCCGAGCCGAGCCTGCCCAGCCGAACCGGCCCCGCCGCACCGGCCGCAGCCCCGCCGAGCCCCGCCGCACCGAGCCGAGCCGCGCCGGGCGGAGCGGAGCCGCCGCGCCGGGGCCGCCCCGGGCCGGGCCATGCGCTGAGGCCGCCGCGCCGCCCGCAGCCAAGGGCGGATCCCGGGCAGGACACGGTGAGGCGGCGGGCACCGCAATGCGACCGGCGCGGCGGGGGCCGGGGGAGCGCGGCCGGCGCGGGGACCGGGGGTGCTGGCGGGGAGCGGCGGGGGGAGCCGTGACCCTGCCCCGCCATCTGCCCGTGCCCTCCTGCCGCCGCTCCATCTCCATCCCGAGCGGGATGCTCGTCCCTCCCTGCCGCTCCTCCATCTCCATCCTGCCCCTCCATCCAGCGCCTTCTGCCTCTCCGGCTGTGTCCTGCTCCTCCCCTGCCGCTCCATCTCCATCCCGAGCGCGATGCTCGTTCACCCTGCTCCTCCTCTGCCCCTCCGAGCGACCTCCAGCCCCTTCTCCAGCCCCTTCTCCAGCCCCTTCACCCTCCATCCTGCCCTTCCCACGCTCCCCGTCCCACCCCTGCTCCCTCACCCCACCCTGACCCCCAGGTCCCCACCAGTGCCACCCCCAGTGCGGGGGGCCCGGGTGGGAGGGTGCTGGGGGGCTCTGGGGGGTGCAGAGCCCCCCGGCAGCATCAGGCCTGAGTGGTCCCTGCCCACGAGCTGAGGGGGGGCCGTGCTCGGACCCTCGGGCACCGGGGCCGGTTGGGTTCGGGGTGCTGCTGGGCACAGGCCGTGGGGTCACCTAAAGAGCCCCCCCCGGTTCCGTGAGGGTCTGTCCAGCCCAGCCCCTCCCCTCAGCACCCCGTGGCAGGGCTGGGAGCCCGGGGGCACTTTTGGCACGGGTGGGACAGACAGGTGGAACAAGTGGGATGGGACAGGTGGGACAGGTGGGACAGGGTGGCACCGCTGCCAGCCCCGGCCAGGGTTGGACGTTCCCACGCGCCAGCTCAGCCCCGGCCCCCGGGCGCTGGTGACGCTCCCCGCGTGGAGGATCCGAGGAGCCCACGGAGGGATGAGCTCTTGGCTGGCCGAGCCCGCGGGGATGGGCTCCTCCAGCTCCCAGCCTCGCCCGGCTCTGGTGTCCGGGGACGTGCCGGGGGTCTGGGGCTGCTTTGTGGGGCCCGGACCCCTCAGTGCCCTGGGACAGGGGTGCAGCGGCCGTGGGAAGGGGCTGGTTCCCTGGAGATGCTCAGGGATGCAGGAGCTGCCGTGCCCAGGGCGGCCACCAGCACGGGGCTGTCTGGGGCACTTTGCTGTCCCCCTTCCCTGAACTGGGGACAGTCCCTAAGCAGTGCTCAGGCCCCCCTTCCCTCCCCTCCCCTCCTTCCCACTCACCCTGTGACTGGGCACCTTTGGAAACCCTGTCCCGTGGTGGCTTTAATGTCCCCAAGGCTCTGTGAGGGTCCCACACGCCTTGGGGACCCTCGGGGGACAGAGCTGGTGCTGCCACCCCTGCGCCACACTGGGGGAACTGGAGCAGGGGCTCAGCACCAGCGACTCTTTGTGCCCCTCATTTCACACCCTGGCGCTGCCCTGGGGGGCACTGGGGACCTTGCCCGGGTCCAGGTGTCCCCTGTGGGTGAGCACCGAGGTTTGGCAGCATGAGGGTGCCCAGGGGGGGTCTCTGACCCACTGCCCGCAGCCCACAGCTGTGCCACGCTCCTTCCCTCCACTGCCCAGCACATCCCTGAGGTGGGAGCGGAGCTGAGGGATGGCACAGCGTGGGCCAGGGGACAGGGAGTGACAGGGGTGACAGGACGGCAGCAGCGTGACCTGTGTGTGTGAAAGGGCACCTCTGTACCCGGCCAGAGAGCCCAGCTGGGCACTCCAGGTGCCACCGTGACCTCGGCCCTGCGGAGCTGCTCCCGCTGCCCGGGCGGGCTGGGGGGGTCCCTGCCCGGCGATCCCCCCGGCAGCCTCGGCAGCAGCTGCGGTGCCGGTGGCCGCGCTCACTCGGCCATATGGCCACAGCGGGCGGGCGGCAAAAATAGCCAAGGCCGGCCGGCAAGGGCGTCCCAAGGGCAGCGAGCCCCGCTCCCGACCGGGGCCAAATCCCGGGGGGATGTCGGGGTGACGCCTCCCTGTGCCCCCGCAGCGACCGCGGGGCAAGATGCCGGAGCAGAGCAACGATTACCGCGTGGTGGTGTTCGGCGCCGGCGGCGTGGGCAAGAGCTCGCTGGTGCTGCGCTTCGTCAAGGGGACCTTCCGCGACACCTACATCCCCACCATCGAGGACACGTACCGGCAGGTGATCAGCTGCGACAAGAGCGTGTGCACCCTGCAGATCACCGACACCACCGGCAGCCACCAGTTCCCGGCCATGCAGCGCCTGTCCATCTCCAAGGGCCATGCCTTCATCCTGGTCTTCTCGGTCACCAGCAAGCAGTCGCTGGAGGAGCTGAAGCCCATCTACCAGCAGATCGTGCAGATCAAGGGCAGCGTGGAGAGCATCCCCATCATGCTGGTGGGCAACAAGTGCGACGAGACGCAGCGCGAGGTGGAGAGCAGGGAGGGGGAGGCCATGGCCAAGGAGTGGAAATGCGCCTTCATGGAGACCTCGGCCAAGATGAACTACAACGTCAAGGAGCTCTTCCAGGAGCTGCTGAACCTGGAGAAGAGGAGGAACGTCAGCCTCACCATCGACGGGAAGCGCTCCAGCAAGCAGAAGAGGACAGACAAAATCAAGGGGAAGTGCAGCATCATGTAGAGCCCCGGACTGGCCCGCGCCCCCCCTCCGGATGCCCACCCCCCTTCTCCCCCCCACGGCTGGACGTGGCAGCGGCATCGCAGCGGGACAGTCCCCTCGTCCTCCGTGTGCCATCACTGTGACTGTGCGGGGACGCCAGCGCTCGGCCCGGGGCCGGGGGTGAAGACGGGGCCGAGGTGAGGGACACGCGGCCACCCCCCCACCCCCCGGGCACGGCAGGACCGGGGACTCGCCGCCAGGACACCCGGACCGCACCCCCCGCACCGGGGGAATGACGGTGCCGCGTGGGGGTGGCGGTGTCACCCTTGGGGACAGTCCCGCGTGCCCCCGTCCCCACGCCATAGTGCTCTGCTCCTGCGGGCAGAGCCCCGGGGCGGGGGCAGCCCCTGCCCGGTGTCCCCCGGCCCCCCTGCCCCATCCCGGTGCCACGGCTCCCCCAGCCCCGTGTGCTACCGCAGCCCCCCGAGCCCCCAGCCCGGCACCGTGACCCCCCAGCCCCACCGTGGCCCCGCGGGCCCCCCGTGCCCCCCCAGCCCCGCGCCGGAGCCGCAGCCGGAGCCGCCAGCACAAGCACAAAAGCATCGGGTCCGCGGGAGGTCCTGACCCAGCACAATCCTGGCCAGCTCCGGCGGGACACCCCCGGCCCCACGGCCAGCCGGGCCCCCAGCGCTGCGGGGCCGGTGCCACCCCCTCCTCAGCGTCCCCCCGCGGGGTGACCCCGGGACCCCCCGACACCCCCGGGACCCCCCGACACCCCCCAGCTCTGGCGCAGCCCCGCTTGCTCCCCCCTTGGCCGGAGCGGGGTCCCCGCGCTGTCACCAGCCCCTCGTCCCCTCGGGGTTTGTCCCCTCGCTCCGGCCCCGCTCCTTCCCCCGGGGTGTCCCCGAGGGGGGTCCCCGAGGTGAGGGGACCCCCCGAGCTCCCCGCACCCCCCGGCTCTTCACACGAGGACGGAGCGCCCAGGGGACGGGGTGCCGATGTAGCCTTTATTCTAGAAATAGTCTTCCTTCAATAAAGAGACACAAACGCGCCCGCGGCCCCCGGAGCCGCCCGCGGCCGGGCGGGGTCACGGCCGGGAGAGATGAGTGTGACACGCGTGGGGTGTGCGTGTGTGTGTGTGTCTGTGTCTCTGTGTGTGTGTGTGTGTGTGTGTGTGTGTGTGTGTGTGTGTGTGTGTTCACGCGTGCTGGCGGACAGCCACGGCTCTGTGGGGTGGCCACAGACACGCGTGTGCAGGTGTGTGACGCGTGTGATGTGTGTGCAGGGCCGTGTGCACGTGTGACGTTCGTGTGTGTGTGTGACATAAATGTGACACGTGTGCACGGGTGTGTGTGTGTGACACGAATGTGATGTGTTCCTTGTGTGTGTGACACAAATGTGACGTGTGCACGGGTGTGGGTGTGTGTGACAGACATGTGACATGTGTGCACAGGTGTGTGTGTGACACAAATGTGCCATGTCTGCACGGGTGTGTGTGTGACACAAATGTGACACGTGTGCACGGGTGCGTGTGTGTGTGACAAAACCGTGACACGCGTGTCCCGTGTGTGTGTGTGCGTGTGACGCGCGCGCTCCCGCGTGTCGCCGCCCGTGCCCGTGGGAGGGGGCGGAGCGCGGCGCGTGCGTCATCACGCCCGTTGCCGTGGAAACCGGCGCTGCTCCCCGCGCGCGGGAGCCGCGTGGGCACCGGGAACGGGCGGGAACGGCGGGGGGGGGGGGAACGGGGGGGAACGGGGGGGAACGGGACTGCCGCGGGCACCGAGGGACCGGCCAAGGGCAGCGAGCCGGGGGAGGGACCCATAGGGGTGGGGATGGGTCCATAGGGGCGGTGATGGGTCCATAGGGGCGGTGATGGATCCATAGGGGTGGGGATGGATCCATAGGGGTGGGGATGGGTCCATGGGGGTGGTAGTGGATCCATAGGGACAGTGATGGATCCATAGGGATGGATCCATAGGGGCGGTAATGGATCCATGGGGGTGGATCTATAGGGATGGTGATGGATCCATGGGGGTGGTGATGGATCCATAGGGGTGGGGATGGATCCATAGGGACGGTGATGGATCAATAGGGGTGGTGATGGGTCCATGGGGATGGATCTATAGGGATGGTGATGGATCCATGGGGACGGATCCATAGAGGTGGCAATGGATCCATAGGGGTGGTGATGGGTCCATGAGGGTGGATCTATAGGGATGGTCATGGATCTATAGGGATGGTCATGGATCCATGGGGATGTCAGGGATCCATGGGGATGGATCCATGGGGATGTCAGGGATCCATGGGGAGGGATCCATAGGGGTGGTGATGGCTCTATGGGGATGGATCCGTGGGGACGGCAGGGATCCATGGAAATGGTTGTGGATCCATAGGGATGGTGATGGATCCATAGGGATGGTGATGGATCCATAGGGATGGTCACGGATCCATAGGGAGGGTCATGGATCCATAGGGATGGTCACAACTCCATGAGGATGGTGACGGACCCATAGGGGTGGTGATGGGTCCATAGGGAGGGTCATGGATCCATAGGGGTGGTCACAGCTCCATGCGGATGGTGATGGATCCATAGGGACGGTGATGGATCCATAGGGACGGTGATGGATCTCTGGTCACAGCCAGAGCTCTCTGGGATGGTCACAGAGCCATGGGGATGCTCTGAGCTCCGTGGGGACAGTGCCAGCTCCGCAGGGATGTCACAGCTCCATGGCACTGCCTGTGGGACCTGTCCCTGTGTCCCTCCAATGGCCTGGGCGGATCTGGGACCCTCTGTGGGTGCCAGGGCAGGACAGCGGGACTGGCACACACGGGCATGGGGGCACTTGGTGCCAGTCCCCACCTGCTGGCACCCCTCAGGACTCTCAGGTATTTGGGGTGGCACCATCCCACCAAAGCTCAGAGCGCTTCCAGAGGTTCCACAACGCCTCAGAGGCAGAAAATCCCCACTTCCCCCAATTCCCGGGTCTCCCCCTCCCCATTTCTGTCCCCTAACTAATGGGAACCTGTGCCCGCCGTGTCAGGGGACGCCCCGGTCCTGCTGCAGCCCCGCATGTCCCTCGGGATGCTGCCAGGGATGGGAAGTCCCCCCAAATCCTCATCCTGAGCCCCCAAAAATCAGCGCAGCACCGGCAGGGAGGATCCTCGCCGGGCTCCCGGAGCCTCCCGCGGGTCCGGGCGTTAAACGAAGCTGCTCCCGAGCGTTAATTAGCGGGATGAGCCCTGGGATGAGCCCTGGGATGAGCCCCGTCGCTCCCTCCACCGCATCCCGCGGCCATCAATTCCACAAATGCGGATTTTGGGGACCCAAACCCGCTCCTGGCATCGTGTCTCGCACTGGCATCGGCGCTGTGGGGAATATTGTCCCTCGTGTCGCCCACGGGGCGGGGGGACACCGCGACCCCGGCACCCCTCGGGGATTCCCCCGCGCCCGGTGCTGCCCATCCGCAGGAAAAGCGGATTAGGAGCCGCGGGCCGGGACATACGGGAGCAAAGTGGATTAAGGGGGAAAATCAGCCTTCTTCCCACTAACAGGATTATTGAGTTTCCAGCGCGGCCGCAGCTGTGCCCGCCGAGCTGGGGACACCCCGGACTGGGCATTTCCCCACCTCAATTCCCGCGGGGATCGCTGCTGCCACTGGTGCGGACCTGCCGCCAGACTGGGATGCGCTGGGAAGCGATGGCTGCTGCCCGCGGGACGTGGCTGTGTCCCCCACGGTCACTCCCGAGGGGACTCCGGGCCTGCCTCGCCCCGCCGGGACCAGGCACCACCGGGACTCTCCGGCCGCGCTCGCCCGGTGCCCGTGGCAGCCGCGGGGGGAAAAATCAAAGCATCGATTCAAGGCTGGGACGGGCTGTGATGGTTTGGGGGGCTCGGGGTCCCCAAGCCCTGCAGCGCGGTCACGGAGCGGGTCCGGTCCGGCGGCACCGAGACCTCCGGAGGAGCACAGACCGGGGGATCCCCGTGAGGGCACCAGGGGACCCGGGGCCGCCACCACCGGGGGATAACCGGGGGATCCCCGTGAGGGCACCAGGGGACCCGGGGCCGCCACCACCGGGGGATCACCGGGGGATCCCCGTGAGGGCACCAGGGGACCCGGGGCCGCCACCACCGGGGGATCACCGGGGGATCCCCGTGAGGGCACCAGGGGACCCGGGGCCGCCACCACCGGGGGATAACCGGGGGATCCCCGTGAGGGCACCAGGGGACCCGGGGCCGCCACCACCGGGGGATCACCGGGGGATAACCGGGGATCCCCTCCCGGTGCTTCGCGCCCCGGCCGCCACGTGCCCCTCCCACCTCATTAATATTAATGCCCGCTCTGTGAAACCACGCCCCATTCCCAGCCCCGCGCGCTGATTGGCCGCTCCTCCCGCCGCTCCTCCGCCGGCCCCGCCCCCTCCCCGTCCTCCCTCCGCGCCGCCGCCGCCGCAACCGAACTTGGCGGCCGCTCCTGGCCCCGCCCACCCGGCCGGCCCGCCCCCCGCGCGCCGCGCTGCGCGGGCTCCCATTGGCTGCGGGCGCTGTCCGTCAGGCGCGCGGGGCGGGGCCGGCGCCGCCCGCGGGGCCAGCAGGGTGCGTTGCGCCGCGCGGTGTCTGAGGCGGCGGCTCCGCTCCGCGCCCGCTCCCGCCGCTACCGGTGAGGAACCGCCGGGAACGGGGCGGGACGGCCGCGGACAGCGGCGGGGGGACACGCCCGGCTGCCTCAGGCCGCGGCTTGGCCGAGCCCCCGCCTCGGCGCGGCCCTGCCCGGAGTGGGGGGGGGGCGGCGGGGCCGGGCCGGGGAGGCCTGAGGGGCTCCGGGGGTGGGGGGGGTCTGGGCGGGGGCAGAACGGCGGCGGGCCCAGGGAGGGCGGGGGGGTGTGGGGGGGATCAGGGGGTGTGGGGGACCCTGGGGGTGGGGAGGGGGTCCCGGGGGACTCGGGGGGAGCTGGGCAGGAGCCCCCGGGCAGGTCTGGGTGGGGGTCCCGGGGGGCTCGGGGGGAGCTGGGCAGGAGCCCCCGGGCAGGTCTGGGTGGGGGTCCCGGGGGGCTCGGGGGGAGCTGGGCAGGAGCCCCCGGGCAGGTCTGGGGGGAGGCTGCGGGTGTGGGGGTCCCGGGGGGAAAGGGGGGCTGGGGGTCGGCATCAGCAGCTCGGGGGGACCCGCAGAGGGTCCCCACGGGGAGCACAGCGCTGGGTGGGATTTGGGCACAAGGCTCAGGGCCAGGAGATGGCGTTGGGGGTGTTTGGGGGGCACAGAGAGGGGCCGTGGTGGGTTTCTAGGGGGTGTCGGCGTTTTTGGATGAAAAATTGAGGGGATGGGGGCAGAGGAGGGTGGGGTGGGGATGGCGAGGGGCATCTTTGGGTGGATGAGGTGACAAGGGACAGTCAGAAGCGATGAGGCTCAGTGCCAGCTGCTTGGGAAGTTGGGTGACTTCATGGTGAAGCAGCCGCGGTTTGGGGTGAAAAGGGAGGCTGGGAGCTCCCACCAACATCACAGAATTTACTTGTTTGTTTCCCGCCGGCGAGCTGAGGGTGGTTGGTGTGGCTGGCACAGGACAGCGGTGGCATCCCGCCTGGGGCGGGCAGGATTCGGGAGGCTCCGGGGAATTGTGTGGGTTGATAAAGGAGGGGTGGCTGCAGGATCTGGGTTTTGTGTTATTGAGGTGTAGAGGAGGTAAGTGGGTGCTGCAGACAAAGGGAGAGAGAGAGAAATCTGTCTCCTGCTCCTCACTTCCAGTTGGAGGTGTGCAATGGGAAGCTGGGCGTCCTTTAGGAGTTGGGGAAGTGCAGGGAAGCAGGGATTGGAGCTGTGGGTGCAAATCTGGGCTTTGCCTCCATCCTGGGCTGTGGCCATCAGGTGTGGCCTTAAACCAAAACCAAATGGGCCGGGCTGGAGCTGTGTCTGCTCCGAGACACCTTCGCTGCTGCTTGGAGGAAGTTATTTTGGCTAAATAGGGGTTTTTTTTGAGGAAAACTGGCACCCTCCAGCTTTGTGAGCTTCTTGTGGCGCTGCCCTGGACGTGTCCAGTGGGGGTGATGCCTACCAGGAGGAAATGTGGAGTGTGGCAGAGCTCAGGAGTCAGCAGCTCAGTATTAATCCGGGCAAACTCGAGGTTATTTCTTGGTTTTCTTTGGCTTCTCAGGGCTGAGCTCAGGCCTCCATCCCGGGAGGTTCCACAGGTCTTTGTCTCCCTGCCACAGGGATTTCCACAGGCAGGTGAGCAGATCCTCCTGAGGTTTCAGCTCCCAGCTCAGCTCCATGACCCTCCAACAAATCCACGGGAATTTGTGACTCTGTAGCCAGCATTCATCCCGTTCTTTTGTGGGGGAAAACGGGAGAAAAGAGCTGGATCAATAGGGTTAAATGGAGCCGATTGTCCCAGAGGTTTTCTCCTGCCAGCTGTGGCTGTGACACGAATGGAAATGGCTCTTTTGTGTGGCTGCTGGGGGCGCTGCCATGCTTGACACAGTTTTGGTGCCCATTCCCTTTTTCCTGCTCTTCCCATCTCATCCCTGGGTGTGTGTTGAACACCCCGGAGGGAATTAATGCATCCGGAGCTGCCCTGAGGAGCTGGGAGGGCAGCGTGTGACAGGGGACACGGAGCTTTGTCCCTGCTCATCCCCCCTTCCCTGCCCAGGCTCCTTATCCCGGTCCTGCCTGTGCCCTGCCGGGGCTGTCATCAGTCCCTGGAGCTCGTTAGCTTAACGAGGAACCCCTCATCTCATCCCTGCCTGTGGCTCCAGAGGAACTGGACACTCTGCCCCTTGGAAAAAGCTGATTTTCTGTGGCAGTTTCCTGATTTTTGTGGCAGTTTCCTGATTTTATGGCAATTTCCTCGCTGTTAGGGGATCGTGGCTGGCCCTGCCCCGTTAGAGCCGGGGCTGGACGAGCTCCAGCTCCGGAATAATCGCCCTGGGAATGCTCTGCTTCGTGGAGAGCTCCAAGTGGCCACTTGTCCAGTGGCCAGCGGGTGGGGGAAGCTGTTTGGGCACCCTCAGGAGGAGGTGGCGAGTACACAGCTGGAGCTGGCACTTAAAATCCTGATTTTTCTTGCCTTTTCAGCCCTAAAAATGTGCTCAGGGTGGAAATACGGGGTGGTTTGGTTGGATTTGTAACCCCCAGTGCAGCTCTGGAAGTTTCCAGAGGCTGTGGGGAAAAAAGGGGGTGGGTGTCCCAAAAACCTGGAAAAGCAGGAGGGAGTTTTGTGATTGTTTGGGGATTCTTGTGCCTGGAGAAAGAGAGTGGGGGGAAAAAGGGATTTATAGAATATGGTGTCTGTGCTGATGTGAGATAAGTGAGGGACCTGCTTGAGGTTGTAGATCCAGTGTTGCTTTCCTCATTTTTATGAGAAATCAGAGGAGTTGAGGTCGCCAGAAATCCTGGAATGGTTTGGGTTGGAGTGACCTTGGCAGGGACGTCTTCCACTACCCCAGCTTGCTCCAAGCCCCAGAATCCCAGCCTGGCCTTGATGGCAGGATCTCACAGTTGAGCTTTGAGGTGGAAAGCTCTGCTTGCTCCAATATCCTGGAATTCCTGGAGCGGTGGGAACCTCTAATTCCAATATCCTGGAATTCCTGGAGCGGTGGGAACCTCTAATTCCAATATCCTGGAATTCCTGGAGTGGTGGGAACCTCTAATTCCAATATCCTGGAATTCCTGGAGTGGTGGGAACCTCTAATTCCAATATCCTGGAATTCCTGAAGTAGTTCAGCCACAGAAATTTTCTCTGTAGATCTGGAGTCTGGATTTCCCAGCTGCAGCATCTCCAAACTCTCTGCTCAGGTGTCTCTGTGCTCCTCACCTGTTGCCAGGTGATTTTTTTTTTATCTTTATCTTCCTCTCCTCTGGCTTTTCCACAAACTGAGAAGGGAACAGAACTAAAACCATAAATCCAGTTCCCTGCCTGCCCATTGTCACATTCAGACAAAAAATAAAAAAAAAAAATAAAAAAAAAAAAGCAAAGCTGGGAGAGAGAGCTTTGTCTTAAATATTAATTAGTCCGAGATTTACCCACTTAATTTGTACTTGACAGTAAATTGCTGGGATTCAGAGAACTGGCAGAGCCCAGGCCTTGCTTTTGGTCCCCCCTGTTATCATCTGCTGCTGCTTGCTTGTGCCAAAAAGGGCCTGGATGAGAAGCTGGGGACAAACGAGCCATTGTGCCCCAAACCTCGGTGGCATTTGGAGTTTCTGAAAGTGAAACTCGCTTGCAAACGCTCTGGAGTTTAAATCTTCCCCCCAGAAAACGCTTCTGAAATGTTGTCTCTTGCACAATCCTGGCCCAAAATTACCTTTTTCATCCTCCAAAAGACCTGGGCAGCCATCAAGTAATTCAAAACAACCCAACCAAAAGCAGCCACGGGGATAAGTGTGTTTAATTTGGTGAATCCTCGCTGGTGGGGGGCTCTGAGGGAGGTTTGATCTTTGTTTGAAGGGGTGGAAGGAGCTGGATTTTCCCTGGGAATGAGCTCTGGATTCAGCTGATCCTTCCCATTCCAGCAGGGTTGGAACCTCCAGCAGTTCAGGGTTTTTTTGTGGGATGGGTGGGTAGGGATTGGCTGTGACGTTAAGGACAAAAAAAAAAAAAGGAGGAAATTTGGGCACGCTGTTAACGCTGAGACACAAAACAGGAAATTTAGTTAAGGGCTGTGCTTTTTCATCATTTATCCTGTGTTTTTCCCCCTCCTGACAGACAAGAAGGAGTTTTAAAGTACTTCAGCCTGGGTTGGGTCTGTACAGCCGAAAGCATTCCCGAATTTCCACTTAAAGATGGATTTTTAGTGACTTTTCAGAAGCTGCAAAAGCCAAGAAACCTCAGCAGCTCCTGCTTTATTTTCATATTTGAGAAAGCAGAGTTGTTTGGAAAAATAATCTCTCTCCAATGGGAATGGGGGAGCAGGAAAACGGGCCCTGATTCCAGAGGGAAGGAGATTCCCCCTCTTGGCACTTCCAGATCCCTCTCAGGTGACAGCAGGGAGGTGACAACCAGGGGTGGACACTCTGCTGACACCCCCCCAGAAAGCGTCTTTGTTTTATTCCCAACTTGTCCCCTCTGGAAATAAAAAAGAAATCTATTTTTAAATCTACAGAATAGTTTGGAAAGGGTTTTTTTTTCAGCCCTGGAGGCATTTTGTCCATTTCTGCCTCATCTGCTGTTAGAAAAATGCACAAGATTTAAACGTTTCTGGTGTGGTTTAACCCCTCCAGAGCCCCTCCCGAGCTCAGGAGCTGCGGGAGGATTTCTCTGGATGTGCTGCAGGAGCTGCTTTTGGGAGGTTTTTAGTGTTGTTTTTTTTTTTTTCATTTCCTCTGCTCTGAGTTACTTCTCTTTTTTTCTTGCTGGCAAGACCTCGGTGTTTATGCTCCATAAATCCTGACGTGGCCCGGCTGCTCCTCGGAGCAGTTGTGGTGCAATTCCCAAACTAATGTTGGGAATCTCATCCAACTCTTCTATCAGGGAGAAGAGCAAGGCCTGAGGGGCTCTTTGTTTCCATTTTTTATTGGAGCAAGACCTTTTGGTGAGGCTGAGAACTGCTGGTTGTGTTTGCAGCTTGGGAATTCTGTCCCTGCGTGGGGTCTCGGCAGTTCTGGGTGGTTCAGGATCCAGGTGAGCCAGCAGGGAGCTCCAGGTGCTGCATTTCCAGGGATCCACAGGA